ACCAGCCTGCTCTACTCTGGTGAGGCTATTATCCTCTTTCTTCTGACCGGGTCACGTGAACTCACCGACTTCCGACCGCTTTACATTTTCACCGATTAAATTGCATTTTGCTTGCCTTTGCTATGTAATCTGTCCTTTCCACAAATTGTCTATAAACAGCTGAGTAGAATATGCGAAATTACTGAATTCAGTATGTTCTGTTGAAATGTGTTTTCTTGCTCTGTTGATATTCCAACATATCTGGAAGAATAAGTGTCCCGCATAACTGAGTGAATCGATTATAGTGACAATATACAAGAAGCACAGTCGCACAGACTGTGCTAATCACAGGGGTACTAACCTATCGCCAGTTGTGACAAAATTGCTGGCCTCGATTCTCGTTCCTCGCCTCGCTGTGAAACGGGAATCTCGGATTAGGGAAGAGCAAGCCAGTTTCTGCCCTGGACGGCGCTGTATAGACCATATCTTCACTTTACGGCATTTGCTAGAGCAGCGCCACGCATACCGCAGACCGACAATAGCCGTGTTTCTCTATTTTAAGAGTGCGTCCGATTCATTCAATTGATGCATTCTGTTCGAAATACTTGCTCGGAAAGGTGTTCCCAGGGAATATGTGAACGTCTTATGTGCTCTATACTCGAACAGTACAGGCCGCGTCAGGGTCTACGGTGACCTGGCGGGTAGGTTTCCGACAACAAGTGGCGTTCGTCAGACTTGTCCGATTTCCTCCTTTTGTTCAACCTCGTCGTGGACTCTATCATGGAGTGTCCCCTTACGGAATATCACGATGTAACCGTTGTGGTTCTGCTTTGTGATCTAGATTTTGATTATGCGGACGATATCGTCTTGCTTTTGACAATCAATCATAAATACCCTATGTAGAGTGGTTCCATTATTTTGCATTCACTTCGCACCTTCTAAGTGCAAAGTGCTGCTTCAGAACCACCAACCACTTTATGACTCCTTGACTCTTGATAACGAGGAACTCGAGGTGGTTGATCGATTCACTTACTTTGGCATCTGCATCAGCAACGATGAGCACATAGAAACTGAAGTCAGGTTATTTATTGCAAAAGCCAGCGCGGCCTTCTTGAACCTGCGACATCTTTGGTGACAGAAAAGGGTTTCCGTCCGTCTGAAAGGCCGTCTATACAAGGTCACAGTGAGAGCCGTTCTGCTGTGTTGGAGGGAGACTTGCCCCTTCGGTCTGAAGATCTGAGGGGCCTTCAAGTCTATGATCATCGTTACCTGCGGAGCATTGCTGGTTTCGGGTGGCACCAGCGTGTGCGCAACGATGATGTGGGTAGGCTAGTATTATGCACTGATAACCAAGCTAGTTCCCTAGAACAACAGCTAACACTGAATAAGTTGCGTTGGCTTGGGCACGTGCTACATATGCCTGGTCACCGCTTACCTAGGAGGGCCTTGTTTAGTCTGTCAGATATAGGTTGGCGCAATGCTCGACGTGGACAGAAGTTGACATGGCAGCGGGAAATGAAATCACTGACGACTAAACTGGGTGCAGTTGGTCCTTCTCGCCTTCCGGGCTGGAGTCCACGTGACCCGCCTTGTGGTTGGCTGTAGACTTTACAGGACATGGCTCACAGTCGACACCAGTTGCGAGTCTGCTGTCGTCTGCTAGTCGGACTGCCTCTTTTAAGTGTGTTTGGTGCTGAGTTATCTGCAGGGTAATGGCTGATTATGACGCGGGGCAGTGAAAGCCGTAAGAAAGCTGTCTCGCTGATGCCGCCTTATTGTAAGGTAGTCAGTTGTTTGTGCAGGTATGTTGTTAACACAAGGTGTAGGCGCCTTGACCCTAAATGTTTGCTTAGGGAATTAAGGTTTTCCGGTAAGTCTCCCTTCTCTTCGTCTTATTATTCTTTATTCCATAGGTCATCATTGTTGTATGGCAGCGAAGCATCAGATCAAATGGCTGATATACCGCTGTTGTTGATTAGCTTGTTGAGGGAAAAACGTGAGGGTAAACTTCCCACTTTATGGGTATTGTAAGCGGCTAAGCGCTGATAATTTTTGATTCGCGCGTAGCTGCCGAACTGGAAGCACTTCATAAGTTTAGAATTGGCGCGGAGCAATTTCTTTTCGACATTTCATATCAAACGTATGCAATTATGATTCTAGTAATCACATGAACATTACGCTATTTCTTGCCATCAATTTCAAGTTGGTAGATATCGGGATAAGGGAAATGTACAGTGATTCAAATCAAACCAAATCCAACGTATCAATTCCATTGTTACATGACTAGGCTAAGCCCACGGCAAGATAATGGCTTGTACCAGAGTCTTCTGCTTACACAGTTCTGGCTGTAGCCGTCTGATTCTCGTGGCTTCAACCGTAATCAGCAAATGCGTGGCTGTGTAGACCTCATATTCCCTCTGTTTCAGGTGCTATAGCAGCGCCGCGCATACCGCAGGGCGACAATAGCTATGTACTTGGATTTCAAGTGGGCCTTCGATTCAGTCGATCGACCCATTCTGTTTGAAATACTTTCGTGGAAACGTGTTCCCATAAAATCTGTGAACATTTTACGTGCCATATATTCGAACAGGACCAGTCCCGTCAGGGTTTACCGTGGCTTATCAGGTGTCTTCCCAACAACAGATAACGTCCTCCAGGATTACCCAATTTCCCCATTTTTGCTCACCTTCGTCGTGGACTTCACCATGGAATGTTCCCTTGCGGAATCTCATGAGACAGGTGTTAAGATTCTGTCTGGTGAAACGTTAGTTGATGGTGATTGTGCAGACGATATTATCTTGCTGTTTAGCGCTGTCGTGGAAGCCAAACCAACCCTGAGTAGCCTCCCTAAAGTAGCTCATCCATTTGGCATGCGTTCCACACCCTCAAAACGCAGTGTTGTTGCAAAACCACCGGACACTTGATGACCCTTTGTATCGAGGACCTCGAGACAGTTGCTCAATTTACTTGCCTGCAATCAGCAACAATAGACGCATAACTAGTGAAATCAGTTCGCATATTTCAAAAGCTAGAACTTCCTTCCTTAATCTGTGGCGTCAGAAAATGTCTTCATTCGGTCTGGAAAGCCGTGTTTGCAAGGCCACCGTGGGGACCATCCCAATCTATAAAAATGAAACTTGACCCCATCAATGTGATGATCTGAAGCGTTTTCGAGCAATTTACCATCGCTACCTGTGCATCATTGCTGGTGTTGGATGACACCAGCGTATTCGCAATGGTAATGTGCGTAGGCCAGTGTTAAAACAACATATAGCACTGAATAAGTTACGTTGGCTTAGGCACGTACTACGTGCGCCCGCTTACCGAGAGCCTCGTTGTTTGCCAGACGTAAGGTGGCGCTTGGATCAAGGCGCGCAGAAATTAACTTGTCGCCGGGAAATGAAGTCGCTGACCACACAATCGGATGCCGTTGGTACGTCTCACTGTCCAGGTTGGAGTCCATGTGACCAACTTGTGCTTGGCTAGAGGTGTTACAAAACGTGGCACGCAGTCAGCATCAGTGGTGCGTCTATTCTCGTTTCGTTGTCGGGTTGCCTGTTTGAGGTGTGTTTGGTGCTGAATTATCTGCGGGGTAATGTCTGATTATGACGCGGGGCAGTGCAAGCTGCAAGGAAGCTGTCTCCTCTACACCATCTTTTTTGCCCGCTAACCAGTTGTTTGTGACGGCATATTGTTGATAATGTGTAGGCGCCTCAATCCTGAATTTTGGCTGGTCCCTTTACTCCGCGTCTTTGTTCTTCATTGCATAGGATACCGTGGTTGTACGGCAGCGAAGCATCAGTTTAAGTGGCTAATAGATCGCTGTTGATACTGACGTGGTGAGGATGATTATCCTCCATCAGATACGTGAAAAAGGCTGCACAGAGCGTTGTTCAGACGTTTTTAGTTCATTATTTTCTGTGGCTTATATTGTAGAAACATCCAATGGGAAGCACCATTGGAGGTAAGCATGCTTAGTTGTTAATAAACTCTCGGCCGGTGGCCGAGTGGTTGGCACGTTTGCTTTCCAACCATAAGGTCACCGGTTCGAATCCGCGTAGGGGTGGGCGTCCTCGCGGTATACTCAGCCCGCGCGCGACTGGTGGTGGTCGCGCGGCAGCGAAGCGCCGTTACGGCGTATAAGCTGACACATTTCATTTTTTTATGAGCCATAGAAACCTATTTGTCATGAGTACTTTCGGCCTGCTGGTTTTTTGTTGTTCCTGTCGAACTAAATTTTGTGTTGTTTATAGAGATCGGATCGCTTTCCATGTGGGAGTTTTGTTTGTCGGCACTCCAGAATCCGAGTTTCTGTTTCTCTTGTTGACCATATCTGATGAATGCGTGACGCAGCGTTATTGCTATAATTTGCATTTTCTATTCGAACTGTCTGCCGTAACTCCTTGTTTGTTGATTGAGTTATTGTTGGAACACCACAACAAAAGGTATGGCGCGTCTATACTTGTCGTTGCCACACTGCCAGCATCGTTTACTGTGACAATTTCTACTATCCTGCCCTGACAATGCATATTTCGTGTTTGCCTTCCTCCGTGTCGTGTAATGTCCACGTCACCCTTCCACCTTCGATACCAGCAGGTTTTATTTTTGCTTGCTATGATCTATTCAGCTGGTCGATGACCGAATGGATTGCACGTCTGGCTTGCAATCCTTAGGTCACCGGTTCGAATCCGCGTAGGGGCCGGCATCCTCCCAGTGCACTTAGCCCACGCACGACCGGTGGTGGTCGCTTGGCAGCGAAGCGTCGGTACAGTGTACCGGTTTACTGCTGATGATTTTGACTTCTTCAAATCATTGGGTCTTAAGCCTTAGAATAGGTCGTGTGATATGTCTACTTCCAGTGACGGCTTGCTTTGTTAATTACCCCATTCTTTGATTTGGACCTTAAGGAAAAAGTTTCTCATCAGTTCAGGAACACATCATTCAAGTCTGTTGCACCCATTGTACACTTATCTAAGATATTCCTCCATGATCCCTTGCACTCCTATTATCTCTGCTCTCAGGTGTGTCAGCAGGTGGAGGATACCCTAGCTCAGTTGGCAGCTGCTCCGAATCGCATCGAATGTCCTGTCATTTACCACCTGGATGTGGGTGCTATGTATCCGAATATTATATTGACGAACCGCCTACAGCCATCAGCGGTTGATTCAGATGCTACTGCTCGCTGTTCCAATTGCCATTTTTATAAACCCGGCGTTTTATGTCAACGTTTTATGCCCTGGTCTTGGCGGGCTGAGTTGTGGACCGCCTCCCGACCGGAGGTTTATCGCGTGCAAGCCCAGTTGGCTCAGGAGCGATTTCCAGTCAAATCAGTGGACTCCGACGGCCAGATCAAGACTGTTCTCAAAGGTTACCATGAATTGTCAAGAGAAGAGCAGGAGGTTGTGGAGAAAAAACGCTTGACGGATTTCTGTCGCAAAGCCTACAAACGCATCCACATTACTCGAACGGAAGAGCGCACGGCAATGGTTTGTCAGCGAGAAAATTCGTTTTATGTGGATACTGTTCGTGCATTTCGCGATCGACGCTACAAGTTTAAGGGTCTTACAAAAGTAAGTTCCCATTCCCGCTTGACTTCGTGTATTTATGTGTTTGTGAATAGGCACTTTCACCCGGCTGCTCGTCCTTGTGGCTTTCTGTTGAATCTTAGCAGCTGAGCATTTGTCAGTATTGAACTTTGGATTCATCCAACACATTAGTCCACCTCTCGTGAGACATTAGCGCAAGCAGTTAACTATCATTGTGGCCACACGCCGTAGTCACCGATTACCCGTTGGTGAATAACATCCTCAATTCTACAAGCTATTTCATTTTTCCGAGGTCTTTCAGCATTTAAGCTCAATGTAAATTACTTTTTAACCAATTGTTGATTTTTTCGTACCTAATGTCGAGGTTTCATTATACTGTTCGGTTCCGAACCTCAGTCGAAGGTCTCCACCCTTTTTATTTTATCTACAGGCAGGCTTTCACATGTATTTGAAGCGTATTTATCTGAAGCTAGCTTCCAGTTCCACTCCTATAACATCTAGGCTAACCGAAGACACATGAAATGGGAGTTGCATGAGCATGCATTACCAACTTGCCTGTGACAAGGCATGAGTGATTGCAGGCAATAAGTTAAGGGAAGTCTATCGACATGATATTCATCGATTTCAGTAAAGCGTTCGACTAGGTTAGCCATGTGGTCCTCCTTCACAAACTCAGGATGTGCGGTGTCGGTGGTTTACTGAACCACTGGATCCGCGAATTTATTGTTGGACAAAAGGGGAGGGTACACGTCGACGACCATCTAACTAACTGGTACCTCTCTACAAGTGGCGTGCCTCAAGGCATTGTGCTGGGGCCCACTCTGTTCCTGATCCACATCAACGGTCTACCTCAGATTCTCCGGTCGCCGTGTGCGTTGTTTGCAGACGACATGAAGATTTGGAGAGAAATTGACGCTCCCGATGACTGTGACCTACTTCAGCAAGACCTCAACCGCCTATCCACATGGTCTGCAGAAGTTCTTCTTCCGGTCAACCCAGCCAAGTCTGTATTTATGAGCCTGGGGAAGGGTGCTGACGGCCAACCGCTATTTCTCACACCCTCCGTGAAGGACCTAGGTGTACTCTTTCACTGCGATTTGAAGTCCGTTGACAACACGAACAGGCTATATCTTAACGGATTGCGTATGCTTTGGGCGCTCAAACGTAGCTTCGGCACATAGTTTGAAGAGGTTGCCACTCACCTCTTCTCTTCCATCATTAGACCAATGCCAGAGTACGATTCACCCGCCTACTTTCCGATTACCCGAGGCGAGGCAAAAAAAATCGAACGGATGCGACTCGTTGCTACCAGACTTATCCGGAGTTTACGTGGCTTGGGGTATGAAGACCGGTGCGAGAAACTAGGACTCTACACCTTGTCCTACCGTCGGGTGCGAGTCGACCTCATTATGACCTACCGTATTCTACACCTCGGTGACTTCCCAATGCTAAGGCCAATGCTGCACTTACGAAGGCCATGCAGCACACGCGGACACAGATACAAACTAGTCGTGCCGGATGTGAAGCGAGTTTTTCACCTACTATGCTTCGAACGGTGAGTGGTAAATATTTGGAGTAGTTTGCCTGAACATGTGATGTAGGCAACATCTGTGCAGCGGTTTAAAACGTTATTAGATTTATATTTTACCATTATTGGATTTAGAGTACGATTGCATACTTACGATGACATCACATTTGTGAGTCCTACAATACCGTGAGTCTGATATTTCAAATGTTATATGAGAACGCTATTCACGGCGGACACTTTTTATGACATTTTTCACTATCTTCTGCAAGAGTTGTACAGAATTCCTTTCTACTTGCTCTGTACTACAGTATTCAGTTGTGTTCAGTATTCAATATGTAATGCTTCAGTGAAGTCATCACACTCGCTAGAAAATCTGCGGAACCCTTAACCGGAATGTTTCGACAGATTTCTTGCATTTGGTTTTCGTCTGCATTGCTGAGAAACCTTTCTTGACTTTTGAGAATCCCAATTTGATGCCTCAGTCAATGTTACGCCTTGACTAACAGTTTCAAGCAGCTAATTTCCAGACTAATTTTATCGCTCGCTTAGGTCTCTAAGAGTTGGTATCTTCCTACCTTCCCCCTCCGCGAATGTCGCAGTTAAAATGTGCTGGTCTGAAATCATCTTTATTTCATTAGTGTCAAGTTACCCTTGCCACACATTTTAAAATATTTGTATATCAACCGGCTTACACGTAAAACTTTAAACCGCCTGTCCTTCATTTAATTGAACGTATATAATGTAACCTTTCCTACCAAGTACACCACAAACCGCTACCATTTTCTTGATAGTATATTTGAGGACCATTGGACAACGCAGGTGCAGGCAACTGTTTATGTCGCATCCTAAGGCTAATGGAACCTCCAGCACCCCTACCTTTTTATTCTCTGCACAATTTCCTCCGCATTGTGGGCTTTTAGCCCCCTCTACCAATACATTATTTCCAGCCTATCCTGTTGTGCTGTTCATTCGACGCAAAAACTAGTGTTTGCTTTGCTTGTGTTCGTCGCCGATGCATCAGCTGTTGATAAATCATGTTTAAGCTTGTAAAGGCAACTTTGATCCATAGAGTTTTGTTCCCGGAAAACCGAGAGTATGGAAGGTGCCCCTGACTCTCTACAGCAATCGGGCTACGAATTCAGTACTGACTGGATCGAAACTTACAAAAGTGTACATGTGGAAATAGAAACAGAGATTACAAAGAGTGCAGGCGGAATACCGAGATCTCATGAGTTTGCGCACAATACTACTCACCTTTCCTCTCCACTTCGAATAGTATTTTTTACACCTTGGATAAGCGCACGGTTATACTTATCGGTTAATTATAGTTGACCATTACATTGTCTTGTTACCCGAGCAAGTTAGAGAACTTATCAGATTGGCAGGTTTTTCAACTCCCACCAATTGGATTTCACCAAGACTCGTTTGTGCTGTCATAAGCGAATTACAAAGCCTAACCGGTACCCTTGATTTTTGAATATCCTCTTATGGTTCACTATCTGAATAAGTCGGTAATTATGTGATTGTACTGTGTTTCCTTCTCACCATCAACTCCGGCCACAGAAGCGCCGCGATCGTACATTCATCTGCAGAGTAATCGTATTCGTTAGCCACCACCTGCAGCTCCGTTCGCGAAAGTTCCGTTCGCTTCCTACTTCCTGTACTGCTCTACTGGGTTTCATTTAACCATAGCACTCCATGACGTGTATCCCATTTAACAGTTTTGTCGACTTTTCTAGGTCTGGAAGCGACGTTTTGACGAGGCTTCCGCAGCGGTTTCCGCTGGCACAGGCGATAGCAACGCGGTGAAGGAGGCCAACGCGATGCTTGTACTCTATGACAGTCTGCAATTGGCACACAAATGCATTCTGAACTCCTTTTATGGTTATGTGATGCGTCGAGGAGCCCGGTGGTATTCTATGGAAATGGCTGGGATTGTATGTCACACTGGCGCAAATATCATCACAAGGGCCAGAGAAGTTATTGAGCAGGTGATGTCTTTCTCCCTCCTTTTATTTTGTCGCACACTTGTCAAACATGTCCCGTTGGCCCTTTGCGGTCATTTTCTCACGGTTATCGTGCCCAATCGGCTTTCATTACCCTTTAGGTGATAGTCATTCTAATTGACCAATTCTTAACTTCCGTTTTTTTCAGATAGGCCGTGCTTTGGAACTTGATACAGATGGCATTTGGTGTATTCTGCCTGCCAGTTTCCCTCAAAATATCGATTTCAGGACAACCAACACCAAGTCTTCCCGTATCTCCATATCTTATCCTGGCGCCATACTAAACATGCTTGTTCAGGACTTATTCACCAACGATCAGTACCACGAACTAATAAATCCGGCGAACATGACATACAGAGTTCGCTCGGAAAATTCCATATTTTTCGAAGTAGACGGTCCCTATAGAGCGATGGTACTTCCAGCTGCCAAAGAAGAAGGGAAGCGTTTAAAAAAGCGATACGCCGTGTTCAACTTCGATGGTAGTTTGGCAGAGCTGAAAGGGTTTGAGATAAAACGAAACGGGGAATTACAATTGATCAAAATCTTTCAATCCTCCGTGTTCGAAGCGTTCCTCCGCGGTAAGACCCTGACTGAAGTCTACTCCTCTGTGGCTAGAGTCGCCGATCATTGGCTAGACGTACTGTACTCAAAGGGCTCAGATATGCCAGATTCTGAGCTGTTCGATCTAATTGCCGAAAACAGAAGTATGTCTAAACGATTGGAGGATTATGGTGCCCAAAAATCAACATCATTGAGCACTGCTCGACGTATGGCAGAATTTCTGGGTGAACAGATAGTGAAAGATGCTGGTCTCTCCTGTCGTTACGTCATTTCCAAGCGACCTGATGGTGCCCCAGTGACTGAACGAGCTATACCCCTTGCAATCTTTCAGGTGAGTCAATCCTTTAATAGGTGCCACGGTTTAAATCCGTTTTTTAGTTTCCTGTTAAGTTGATACAACCCACAATAATACACCTAGCGTCTTCTTAACTTCCATCCATGCCAACGTGATTGAGTCCCTTGTAGCTTCTCCGTTCTGTCGCATATATGTAGTCGTCCCTCTAGGAGGGCGTCACTTAAAGGTGAACCTACCGGACTCTTCTCCCAGGCTCACTTTCTGAATACTTTTTACGTTTCCGACACCGGTGGTAACAACAGTAATCGCTTTCACTCCACTCCACAACTTTACGCTTAAATGAGAATCAAATGTGTGGTAGAAAAGGTCTAATGGTATTAGTAGAGATTCATCACATTTCGTCTCACTCCCGGAAAAACACCGTACGAATGTTTCATCTTTTCGGGAATTATCAGCAGTGCGCATTCCCTTTGGGGCTTGAACTTGCGACTCGACTATTGCCAGTCTGGTTGAGACCACTGGGCTACGGGGGGGGGGCGGTAACAGCCAACGTGCCTAAGTTACTAGATGTGATATATCGCCGCTCACCATCCACTGACTTGAATGTTACTACCAAGCTCTCCACAACCTCCAGTGTTTCACCACCAAGAGTAACTGCAGGCACAGACACCTGTCAGTCTTGAAAGAGAACTTGAATTTGGATGGCGAAAAGTATATACCATGCCTTAATGCTTCAACTGCCAAATGGTTTAGTGCAAGTTGGTTGGCCTGTGGATCGTTACCCAGCAAAACGATATCAGCATAGTCCAAATCAACAACTCTACTACCTGGGAAGAGCTCAACGCCAGCTTACAACGAATCACCCAGAGGATTCTTTCGAGCATCCTCAAATGCAAAATTGAATAGGAACGGAGAGATAGGGCATCCTTGTCGAACTTCACTGAAGACCACCAAGGAAGGCGCAACTTACCATAAGCCATAACTTTGCCCAATAGAGCGCGCAGTATGAAGACCAACTTTTCGGGGCTGCCATTCCTTAGCAGGCAGTGCCACAGTACAGTCCTATCGACGGCTGTACAGATATCCCAGAACACAACAATCGTTTGCCTTTGATACACATGGAGGAGCTCGAGGTTCTGGCGGAGTGTGAAGATTTGATCTATGCAGCCGCGACCAGAGTGAAACCCAGCTTGTTCTTCTCGCTGCAGCGATTCGCGCGTTGGGGATAACCTGCAAACGCCAAGAATTAAGGTTATGCCTCTTTAATTTGAGCAGCTTGTGCCCAGGCTTTTTGGATGACTATCGACTCACCCCAAAATGATGGAACCTCCTCATTCGACCAAACTTTCGAGAACAAAGCGGTGAGTTCTCGAGCCAACGAATGACAAGCATCTTTAAAAAGAACAGAAGCTAACCACCAGACTAGGTGCTTTATGACACTTCCATAGGGGAAGTTCCTGCCAGATTTCCGGGTGAGAGGGAGGATCTGTGGGGACAGACCACACAGCATCAGCGCGCGCTCCAGAAGAAGCAGATGGAGCTGCGGCCAGCAAAACTGCAATCCAAAATGTTCCGCTTATCGTTCCAACAGCCGTGGTAGAATTGGTATTAGGGTACCATCCTCTCACTTATACCAGATCGAACACCTTCGGTGACTCGGATGAGATGGAAATGTTTTCTGGTATTACCAGAGACTAGCAAGTTCCATCTCTCTAGCGCGTTCACTCCACCAAGCTTCTCGATCCATTTAGCGACTTCTGCGCAACTCTCCACCCAGGGATTGGCGTTCTTCCCTATGGCTGAAATCAGACGGAATCAAGCGGCGTTTGTCCATCAGCGACAAGGAGACGGTAGAAATCCAATTCTTCGGTGGTTGGTAACGGGTGACTCCACAACTTTCGATACTGGCGGAAACGAAGGCATCTTTGATCTGCGCCCACTGAGAATCGAGGTCATCGTCAGAAGTTGAGGCAAGCAATTTTGACAGTGGGGCTTGGTTCATGGTTAAGATCGCCGGGTTTCGTAGGTTTGCGACGTCCGGTCGGTAGTGAGCGCGCTTGGGTGATTCTCCGAAGCGCATGCCAATCTTAGCACGAACCAATGCGTGATCGGAGTCTAGATAAGTTGACCAGTACCATCGGTAGTCCGTTACACTGTCGCACCATCTGTAGCTGATTGCTATGTGGTCTAGCTGGGAGCACTCTTGCTTTTATGAGGACGGGCGCCAGGTAGCATTGTGTCTCCTTGAATGCCAAAAACTAGTGCTCGAAAGAAACAGGCGATAATCAGAGCAAAGAGCAAGCAGTCTGTCTCCATTGACTGCTCGACTGTTACCGAGGCCATAACTATCCCCAAGGTGGTGCTCGCTTGGCGGAAGGCAGCCCACCCATGCTTCAAAGTATCCGGCAAGAATAACTATATCAGTCCTTTTGGAGGAACATAGAAGTTCATGTAATTGTTGGTAAAAGCTATCATTGGCTGCATCCGGGCTACAGTCTGTAGGGACGTAGACAGAGATGACAAACAAAACACGCTTACTGCCTCGACGCCTGCTTACATTACGTGAAACTCTTATTCGGACTGTGCATAGCCGACTGGTGAATGGGATCCAGTCAAGCAGAGCTGATTCAGCCCTGGCACTCAGTGCAACTCCAACACCAGCTTGGTCATTGATGGCAGCCCCTAGATTCCCGGAAAGGTGCAAATGGTATGTGACGTCAGGGTTTACCAGAGAGCCCATTCGGATGATGGCGCTAAGGTCTTGCAATTTGGTTTCTAAAAGGCAACAGATGTCTACCGAGAGCGTTCCAAGAGTACGGGTCAGATATGCTTGTCGTCCGATATGCATCAAAGTACTCACATTAGACACTACGAGGATGAATTGGAGAGCCTGGTAGCAGAAAAGCTGGTACTTCGTTAGAGTGAGTGGCGGTTGCGATCGCAGGACATTGAAAAGCAACAGTTTGGCCATTACTTCCATCAGTTGCGACTAGTGGATGACTGTGGAGGACATAAGAATACATATAGGTGAAGGACTGGAGTTGGAGTGACCTGTAACTGGAGGTTAAAGAGTTGAGTTAGCTACGAAGACAGTAGTACAGCAGTGTGGACTATGATTCGTCGGTGGGCGTGATACTGCCTGGTTGTGCAGGCCAAAGTAAAGGGTTGTCTTAAGGGGCCCTACCCCGAGCCCTTGATCGAAAATCTCACCTACAAGGCAGCAGGGCGATGTGAGGACGTCACAACATGTTGGGGGCCGGTGACAAAACAAATGGTTCATGCTCTTTTCGGTCCGTGAAGGACGAAGGGCCGAACGCATTTTTGAAGTTCAACGCCACTCCGGGAGAGGTAAAAGGCAGTGACTGTATTTAGTGCGAGTCACTTGCTACACTTCGCAGTTTTGTTAGACGGACCTTTGTGGCTTATAGAAAGGCGCTTGCCAGTCGAAAACCCACCACGTCCTGTAACACTGATGCGAAATCATTCACTGGAACGGGCAAAATCCGAACCACCCAGCTAGCACCACGAGGAGGTTGTTCGTCAAGCCAGCCTGAATACCCTCCTCCTTAAGTATAGGCCATGTACATTCAAACCTGTCCAATCAAGGGACCGACAAAAAGTGGTCGCCATGGACAGGTTCAGTCAAAGGGATATTACTCATTGGAGAAAACATTGATGTTTTCGGCTGGTCGACATAGATAGGTGATCTCCGTAGACAGGTGGACGCCATGGCAGGTTGAACTGTACTTGCAAACGCTTGCATGATAACCTTGTTGGCCATTTGCTCTATCTTGACTAGAAGCTGGTAATCGTTGATCATTTTAGGTATCATAGTAACTGCATTGGCAGCATTTGGCACATTACTGAAGTTAGTGAGTTGCGATAGCCAGAACTGCCTCAACACCTTTGGTACTAGGAAGGGATTGTCCTTATTTCTAAAGATGGGGTTTACATAATCGCTTTGGCGTCTACACTGTTCCTCAAAAATGAAATCTGGTCTCTTCGTTGTGAGACTATCATTCTCCTTTAAGTTTTTGCCAATGGTTACCGGTGCATTATTTGTGTCTGTTAGAGCTAGCGTGTGCGCAACCATTAACTATGCCGATTAATGCTAGGCATAATGATCAGGCTAGTTCGTTAGACCAACAGATCAGACCGTCTACGTTGCTCTGACTTGGACACTTGCTAGGTATGCCCGCTACCCACTTGCCGAGCCGAAATTACCGGATCTGGGATCGCCTAAGGGTTGTGGCGTCCATCGTCCTCGTCGTTGAGAGAAATGAAGGCACGGACAACTGAGCTTTGGACTGATTAAGGTGACCCACTCGGGCTTTCTGGAGACTTTACAGGACATAGCACGTAGCCAACCGTCATTGATGATGTGTTTGCTGTCTTCTTCTGACCGGATTACCTATTTACATTTTGCATGACACTGAATTATCCGTGGGGCAAGATTAATTATGGCATGAGTCGCTAGTCACTGCGTGGAGACTGTCTCACCAGTATGGCCTTGTTTTCACACCATGGTTACACGTTTGGCAAGATGTAGGTGCATTGGGCCTTAGTGTTTATTTAGAGTAGTTCAATCTTGTACTACCGTTTCTTTCCCTTTCCTCACCGTTTTTCATAAAGTGTGCTTACGATTGCATTGTAACGTAGCTTCGACACGAGATGATGATGATGATAACAACAACAACAACAACAACAACCATAATAATAATAATAATAATAATAATAATAATACTTCGTTGTTTTTGCAACTTCCATCGCGTTTTGTGGTTGCTATCTTATTATGTATCTTACATCCACACACACTTCTGAATTCGCCCTCACCCCATGCGTTGGTTTTCCGCAGGTTGCTTTTGTAGTCTTTCTTTTGCTGCACTTGCTCTTTCGCCAACCATTTACTTTGTCCTCGTAACCTGCAGGCAGAGCCCGCCGTCAAGCGTCACTATCTCCGAAAGTGGCTTAAAGATTCTAACTTGGATGCTGATACTGACCTGCGCGATATTTTGGACTGGTCGTATTATCTCGAACGCCTGGGTAGCGCTATTCAGAAAATTATCACCATCCCAGCCGCGATTCAGCAACTTCCAAATCCAGTTCCACGCGTAAGCTACCCGGATTGGCTGCTTCGTCGTCTAGCCGATAAGACAGATACTTACAAGCAACAGAGGCTCACCGACATGTTTGCTCCCGGAGCGACCAGCTGTAAGACCACTACCACTTCCTCTGCTGTTCGCGATATTGAAGAATTGTCTTCTGGAGGAGATGGGGGAAATTCCACACACACAGACATCATACGTCATCACCAACCAAATATGCTCGGTGTGTCTCTTAAACGTCCGTTGACTGAAGCATCTGGGCCCCCCAAACATTGGCGTGAACAACTTGGCGACCCTCCACGGTGGCAAGATATCACTACCAGGGAGTCGTTACTCGTTTGGTTGGCTTTCCATAGAAACAAATGGAGAATCCAGGCAGAAAAAAGACGGTACCTTTTAAAGCATCGGTCGCAACTGAAGGAAACCGTTCCATTTCATGAACACCTACACGATACGGTCGCAAACGCAACAAAACGACAGCGTGGGATGGCGCGGTATTTAAGCCACACTCGCCTAACGTTGTTGAACTCAATCTGGCAGGTAATTTTTACGCCTGCTACATGCCTTCAATGTTTATTGCTTCCATTCGTTTGGCTTCTAGGCTGTATCCAATGCACTGAGCGGTCCTGATTTTTGCTTCTGTCCATTTTAGATCATCGAAGCATGCCCAGATCCAAATCAACCTGGCCGGTTTAATTTGTGGGTCTCTGTCAGTGTTGCGGATTCGTCCTCTGCACCTGCTTTGCACATGGTGACTGTGCTTGTTCCCAGACGGTTTTATGTCAACTTGCGCACACCCAAATCTCAAGATTCCGGTCCGTTGTATCGGAAAGTTGCCGGTTCTTCAACCTCTCAAAGTGTAAATGTATCTAACGCTGTAAGCGGTCGCATCCTACCCCGCAGCCATTCTGTCCACCATCTTTACGAATATAGCGTGCCTGAAGAGTTATACGTCGTCCACGCGGCGGAAATCGCTACCGACCTTGCAAGACCGGATATCGAAGGAGTATACGAACTGAATATACCACCATTGTTCCGCCTACTGGTACAGTTGGGTTGCTTGTGCAGTATTGACAAAGAGGCACTCAAAGAAGATCATTTCTCCGGTACTTCCGTTGAGGATGCTGTGTTTCATCTGGACCAACTTCGTTTCCGTTCCATGGCCCAGCATCCTTATCTATCTGATCACAACTTTCGGCGGTTATTCTTGTTTCACTACCAGCAACCTTCGCTTGGAGGGAATACCTCGAGACGCGAGGCTGTGCGTCAGGTACGCTTGTCACTTGCCTGATTCCCTTGATTTCTTCCAATGTTATGTAGATCATTCCCGTTGCACTAAGAACTTTATCCACAAGTTTGATTTCTAGCCTCATACTTCACTCTATTTCCCAGCCTACCTTGTTTAACTGATTAGCTCCAGATCCGCATACGACCATTGTTTGCATGTCTGTCACTGCTCGTCATCACTCACTTATCCATACATTTCATGTTGTTCTAGCACTTTCCAGTAGCGAGTCAGTTGGGCTTCGGTCTCTAACCACGCTTGCTGTTTTAGGAGGCTAATCCTATTTTACTTCCTCACTATTTGTACCCTACAGCTTTATCTTCTCGTCGTCCCTTGGACTTCCACAGCCTACATATGCCTGGTTGACAGTGCGAGGGTAAATCAGCTGCCTGAATTGAATAGTCTTTACCAGAAACAACGCAGGAAGCTTCTTTCGAAAGCGCCGGACGCTGCATTCCCACCGGCGACCCTCGAGTTTGAAATACGTGTGGAAACCGATGTATCGAACGCGCGGCGTGTTGTCCAACGTTGGCTCAGCGAAGTTCGACAGGGCAAACACGGTCAGCCGGAGCAGACCACTGTGCTCGGTCAAACTGTGTCGGCCACTGCGACTACACCGATTGTCGTACTCCTACATGCGTCCGCACGGCCTTCACAACAGCAGTCATCGGCCGCCTGCGAAACGAGTGAGATCCGCTGGTCGCTTGGTGAAACGATCACAGCTCGTCGTCGCACACCCCAACTGACGGCGTTGTCCGGCTTTCCAGTCATACCTCTTGGTGGCACATTGGACGAATCGGAGGCACAAATGGGCGAGGATGTAGACCTCAACACAGATGCTTACAGCCTACTTAATTGGCAACAAACAACTGTGAAAAGAGGTTTGCGATTCTTCATTCAGGTTCGTTATCAATAAACTAACTGGGTATATTTCCCGACTAGCGGAATACGTTCCCTTTTGTAGAACGATCATCTGTACAACTAATTTCGTTATTATTTCACGTATAAATTCCATTCATTGTGGAAGCGTTATGCAATGTTTTGTTGCGTATGTAATAAGTAACATTATCCGATAGTTAATATTGCTATATGTTTTTCGGGTCCGATTCCATGAGCGCGCACGTGTAGATGAGGTTACGAACCGTATAGCAAAAGCTGGAAGTTCTTTTGCTAGTCTGCGCCACCTGTGGCGCAGACGCGACATTACTCTCGCCCTCAAGGGCAGAGTTTACAACGCAACCGCCCGTTCAACTCTCCTATATGGGTGTGAAACCTGGACCATCAGGTCGACAGACATGAAGAGACTCGTCACATTCAATCATCGCCGCCTTCGCAGCTTAGCTCATGTCTGGTGGGAACACCGCGTGAGCAATGAGTGTGTTCGACGTCGCGTATTTGGTGCAGGAAGAGCGAGTGAACCGCTCAGCACCATTATATCACGCACCAGACTCCGATGGCTGGGCCACGTGTTGCGCATGCCAGCACACCGACTCCCGCGACGTGCATTGTTTGCGCGTTGTGGGTGCGGTTGGAAGAGGAGGAGGGGAGGCCGAGTGATGACTTGGTCGAGAGAAATGAAAACCCTCACTTCGAAGTTGACGTCGGTTGGTGCATCCCGACTGCCTGGCTGGGGTCCTAAGGACGGTGAACACGTTTGGTTGGACACACTTGCTGATGTGGCTAGGAGCCGGCCCCAATGGCGTTTGTGTTGTGAGTTCCTTTGCCCATCCCCATCCAATGACGATCTCACTTGTTAGGCGTAATATGACTCTTTTACGGCAGCCAGCTGTTAGCTCTCCGGAACGATGTCCATCTGTTACTGGGACCTCAGCCGGCGTGCCACTGTTTGTTTTTTCTTTTCTTGCCTTTTGTATTGCGGCACAATAGCCGAAGTGTTTTCCACCTTCAGCTAACGTGTAATGATGATGATGATGATGCGCGCACGTGGATTGCTAATGGTCGAAAAGCTTGACTACATTTGGCATGGAAAGAAAAGTTTTAGATTCGTTTAAAAAGTTGCCAGGTTCTCACAGATCCTTAAATGCAACGGTAGTTTATTTCACAGATGGGCGTACCTCTCCAAGAAGAATTTTAAGCGGATTTTTCTTGGTCCTCTGTCAGGACAGTAAACATTTCCCATTACGCGTGGGATATGTTGAGCCATTATGTAATGCGACTGTCGTACTGGTTGTGCAAACTCGCGAGTACATTATGCTGTAGAAAAGAGTGAAGTTACTTTTCGGCCATCGAAGCCAGAGTGGATCGAGCTGGAGATGAGAATATAGCTCTTCATAGGTAAGCGGTGATAAGCGCCCCATGAGCATTTTGGTAAATGAACGCTAGGCGTTTTCCAAAGCAATTCTATCTGTTTTACCTAAGTAGCTATTTGTGATGGTGCAGTACTCTAGAGTGGCTCGCACAATGAGTTTGAATGTTTCAAGCCGTGTTTGGGATAGGGAAAATAACATAGTGATGTAGCTTGTTAGTTGCTTCGCTTTCGCTATTTGATGTAGGATGTGTTTGAAGAAGTTGAAACTGCTCGAATATCAAATTCCTAGGTCTCGAACGGCATACGCAGTTGGAATGGGGGCGCCAGTGAGAGTGATGGATCCTTCGGGTATACTGCATCTGTGGCAGTGTATCTGAAATTTATCTGCAGAAAACCTCGTTGACATGCTTTCGCTCCATTTGTTTAGGAATGATAAGTTCTCGCGTATATTTTTTAAGCGCAGTTCCATATGAGTACGCTAGTTTGATGTCATCGGCAAATACAAATAGACGCCCGTGTCTAATGTAATTACATATATCGTTTATGCAAATGAGGAAGAGCAATGGGTCCAATACACTACACCGCTCATGACATTTCTGGAACAATATTGACCAAATTTTTCTTTGTATTCGGCCGTTAAGATATACTTCGAACCCGCTCAAGAGAAGGTTGCAAATTCCATAGGACTCCAGCACAGCAAACAATGGTTTGTGCTGTACACGCTGTGTCAAACGCTTTTTGCATATCCAGAAGGATGATGACAACCATGCTGTAATCTAACGTTACTGTAACATGATCGAGGAATTGCAATTGGCATGTGACGCAAGAACGTTTTGTAATGAACCCATGTTGGAAACTGCTGAGTAGGTTTTTCCCTTGTTAGGTACTGTGTTACCCGTGTATTGACGACTCTTCCTAAGGCCTTAGAGGTGGCGCAGGTATGGTTTATCGGTCAATAATTTGACATTCTATCCCGTGGACTGCATTTGTTTTTATGATCAAAGTATAGTTTTTCTCCACTGAGGCGGGAAGCGACTAGTGTTTGCTGACTGTGTAACCATATTCAACTTGAGGAGAGATATGTTTTTACCACCTAGCTTTATAGCGCATGGGGAATACCATCAGGTCCCAGTTTAAAAGTCTGTTTGGTGAGTGTTATAGTCATCCGTATGGTATGGTACATCCCTGCGCTCTTATTGCAAGGAGTGAAGAGGATACAGATGGTGTAGTCGTAAAGGAGACGAAAAAGTAAAAATCATCGAATCACATAGTTGGACTAAATCGTCAGTTGTCGTACCGTCGTTTAAAAATGGGTTTGTAATTTCGTGGTGTCTTTTCGGATTTCTTCTGAATAATTTCATCAGGGCACCCGTTTTCTCTGTATTTCCGATGGCTCAGGTTTCCTCGGCAATCCTGAACAGTTGAGTTTGGTGTTCAAGTATCATTAACGTTTCATCTATTTGATTTAAGGTGGCGGTCTTTGTATTTGCAGTGCAATGATCACAACTTCTTAAGCTTGGAAGCGACCTTGGACGAACTTTTATATTGGCTGTCAAAGGGGTCTGTGTTTACCTTCGCAGCCTGTCAAATGTGTGCCAATCAATAAGATGTATTCGGGGACTGGCTTTCCCATTGCTCTGTTCTTGATAAATGACCTGATATTCATGATACAGAGCACCACATTCTGATCTCATCCTATTAATGAATCTTCAATTAATACACAAACAGATGGAATATCCATGATGAAAACCAGGTCTAGAATGTTATCTAACCTAGTAGGTTGTTAAATGTGCTGAGTCCAACCATTGATACAGACACCACATTTCCGCAAATTCCCCAGTTGTTGTACGTTTATGGGACCTCCAATTTATATTTGGTATATTGAAATCTCCACCATTATTGTATGGGTGTAGATGTTTGCACTGCTGAACTCCCTTTTCATCTCATAGCTGCCCGTTTCCTTCCACTACTACGCTCATCTATGTGGTTTGTTAGAGGTAGTAGTGAGTTTGACTGTATTTCGAAGAGTTTCAACTGTGGTCAGTCTTGGTTGACTTTACTTTCCATTGTGACCCATTGGCACGCGCTTTCCATCGAGTCATTTCAAGTTCGAATCCACAACTCCCCTCACAACTACCCACTGGGCTGGGATGATAAGCGTGGACTACTGTGACTGTTTAATTGTTGCTTTGTCGCGTGACTCACCTTCCGTTGTCATTTGCGTTTCTAATCACTAAATGTTTAAGTGTAGCTACAATGAATCTCCTCAAAATACCTCCGTGGTTTGTGCAGTATTAACACCTATTCACTCCTCATCGGTGCAAGAAGTGCACTATTGACTTGACTTGATAGAAGCTCCATACATTGTAGGTCGTGTCCAATAAACGCCCTTTCCTTTACTTCGTCACTGGCAAAGTTAATAAGAAATGGTGATAGCGGGCTTCCTTGTCTCACACCACTCGCCGTGACACTTTCCCATAAATCCTCACTACGTGCGTAAAGCGCTTTGATAATGTTTGTAAATTTATTAGGGACGTTTTTCCTAAGGAGATCGTCCTAAATTACACACGGGTCAACCGAGACAGACACCTTCGATGTTGAGGAACACGACTACAGTGGGTCGCCAGTAAATATGCCAGTGTTCCAACAACTGACCTAAAGTGAAGATATGGTCAATACAGCCGCGACTTTGACGAAACCCGGCTTGCTCCTCGCGAATCTGGCTTTTACGGGTGCTAACATGTCTATGAACCATGACGGAGACAATTAACTTAGAGGCAGTTGAGATCAGACTGGTCTGTGTGATTTCTGCAATTCAGACGTGTGCCTTCCTTTAAAATTGGGACTATTATGGAGCGGCTCCAGTCCTTTAAAATAGTCTCCTGCTCTCACAGCTTCACAGGTGAATTGTGCAACCCACCAACAAGAACAGGTCTCCCGAATGTGAACAGAGTTGTAGGAAGTATATCTGCTCTTGCGGCTTTGTTCAATTTCAAAAATCTTATCTCACATTCGACTTCCGCGCGCAAGGGCGGATCCAAGGACATGGCCCAAAGTGTAGGGCGACCAATGACCGATAAGGAAAATGTCAACTCTGGCTGATTAAGCTGCTTTTCAAACTGTTCGGCCAAGCGTTTTGACAAGCTGTGGATTGGCTGCCACTCTCGTCGCATATAGTTTCGCTAATACCAAGCCTGATGCTGCGCGTATCAGACGGAATAACTAACGATGGTTACCGGGGGCAGCGGCTGTCTCCATTCCCGATGCTTCATGAAACCACCGGGCATGCAGTTCCGCTCTATGGTTTTTTTGATAGTCTCATGTTCGCTTCCAGTCATAATGTGTCAGCGATCGTCTAGAAGTTCCAGTTGGCGGTTTGATCTGCCACATTTAAACCTGCCTGACGCTAATGACATCTGGTGGATATGCTATCAGTGATTTCCGACTGTCTTCAATGAGCCCTTCATCATCATCATTACACACGTTAGCTAGAGGTGGGAAACACCTCAGCTACTGTGCCGCATCAGTGAGCCATTACTCAACCCGCATGACAGCGTACTTTGATACACCTTCAGCACACCTGACTTTGCCAGTTGACAAGTCTATGCGCTCAGAGCGTCATTGCAGACGTCCACCAAAACGTACTCACGGGTCGGCACATATGAGTGTGTAGTCGGAGTTCACTATCGTGCCTCAAATTTAACGGCAGTTATGGACGCAGCCTCTCTAACAGTAACTTCGCGACGTAATCGATTTAAATCCATGGCTGGTCCGAGGCCGCCAACCATATGGTTGGTGGCATCCGATTTCGGATTTGCCGGTCACTGTGACCAGCCACAGGACGCCTGCGCCTACAGAGGGACCATGGGTGGCTTGCGCTGCACCACCCACAGCTCCAACCACACACACCCCATATCCAGTGTAAACCCGAAGGAATAAGACGGAGAGGCATGTGGATGGGAGCCACGTTTCATCAGCGGAGTCGGCCCACACTCCTTGACAGGCAAGCATAAGCACGCTGTATTAAGGCAATCAATCGCACACAAGACGGTGTCTGGACTGTAGTCCGCTCCAAACAGAATGTATGGAACCACTCTTCGAACTTAATACGACCACAAGGACCGTGCATCCCGTCCCTTCCAGCAACGATCAACTGTCTCCTGGAGCCCAGTATGGACGAGGTCGTGGATAATAGACAGGTAGGCACTTTCTCCACATGCACGTCAAGCGCAGCCACACCGGAGATATCAAGCAACAGCCAATCGGTTGAAATGACGGTATCAAATAAATTATGTCGTTTGCTGCATACAGATATACCGACATAGCTCTTCAATAGAGGTGCATATGAAGTCAGTTGGTTGCCAAACGAATCCGCTAGGGGTTCAAGACGTTAGAAAACATATATTAAGAAAGTGCCACTACCGCGAAAAGGTTATCAAAATTAACTACAATTAATTTGAGCGACGTAGACATTAATGAAACAATATAGCAAACCGCCCACCTGAATTAATGAGACCCAGCATGCAAGCAAGCGGTTAATAAATCGAATGCAGCGTACTTACAAACGCTGCGCCAGTTATGCCTACGCTCTCAACAGAACTCGACGTCGTTTCATTGTTTGCCCCGAGTGGCGTCGCTCAAGACTCACTAGGCCTGCCTGACTCAAGTACTGGCGACCGCTTGTGCTACAGCACCATGCGCTCGAAGTCGATGGAGTACAACCCATCGGCGCCTGTCGCTTCCATACTTGCCGCTTTTTCTCCACATGTATGAGGTCTTTCTGCTACACCTCGGCAACTGCCTTCGTGATCCGATCGCGCCATGCACACCGATCAACCGCGTACGATTCCTGTTACCTGCAACCAAGATTAGAACGTGATAAGCTCACTTTGCTCATGTCTTGGTAACGAAACTTCGGTTTCCCCGCATGCCGTTTCCCAACACTCAGCTGACCATATAATAGCTGCTTCGGTATCCTCGTCGAATTCATACGCCATCTCAAATGTCTCCTCAAAAGTATACAATCCACTTCATACATTCCACTTCTGCGCAACGTTTCCGTGTCTGTAACTCTGTCGCACCAACCAGTGCACAGAATCCGTCGCAAACACTGTTGATGGAACCGCTCGAGATGTCGCACATTCCGCCGGCACATCGTCCAGGTTTCACTGCCGTATAGAAGAACGGACAGCACCATGGATTTGTACACCATCAGCTTGGTGACAACGGTAAGCTGGAGGTTGTTCCACACTCGGTACTCTAGCTTCCAAAATGCCGCCGCTGCCTTCGAGACGCGGATACGAAGCTCACTGTGTAGCTGATGCTCAGTGGACATACACTCCCAAGGTAGCAGAAGAGGGAGGTGGTTTTCAATATTTCAGCACCAATGCTGATTAGCGGTACCATTGCAGATTGCACCTCCGGTGAAGGCTGAAAGAGACAGACAGTTTTGCTTGTGTTGATGGTGAGCCCGAATTTGGCCGCTGTCGAAGTCAGAGCACTAGTCATGTGCTGCATCTCACCTGCGCTGTGTGCAAACAACGCACAGTCGTCACGGAACAGCAACCTACGGATAGTTGTCTCACAGGCTGGAGTTCTCGCACCGAAATGACGGATGTTTATGCACCCACCATCAGTACGGTGTTCCGCACGAACACCGTAAGTACAAGCGGCATCAAAAGCACATCATGGCGTATATATATATATATATATATATATATATATATATATATATATATATATATATATATATATATATATATAAACCCGTTGAGACGACCGCTCCCACTTGTACCTTCGATATAGACAAATTTTTCCCGGTTACTCATTCCTCCGCTACTTATTATGCCGCGTTACGCACTTGATATTTCGCTGTGCAGTGCAGATGTGTTCACCCTCCATCGATTTTCACATTTTGGCAACCTTCGATTGTGCGTATTATATCTCTCTAACATCTTTCACACTCTACTCCTTCGTTTAGTCCGAGGCTCGCTTTGAGCGTCAGCTAGAGTTGGCACGGTACTTACACGTTCCTGTGGCGAATCTTCCGGTCCCCGAAGCGCCTGCGCCCATTGTCCTCCACCCAGACCCCAGTGAGGACCCTCAACTTCCCGCAAGCCCAGTTTCAGCGATCGAACTCGGCTGCGACTTGTTCTATGCCCGCCATTTGTACAAACATAATCACGTCCTCTGGTGCTCCCCTTCCGGCTGTCCAGACCTCGGCGGCAAGGAAACCGATGATCAGCGTCTCCTCTTAGAAATGGAAGAGTCTGGAGTAAGTACTCTTCTCGTTTTTTCGTCTAATGTATCTCGTTGATCAGGAAATCTCTTTCATGTTCCCACGGCTCTCCCGTTCTCATAGTTCATCCCACTATTTGGGTTATCTAGTGAAACCGTCCTTTTACTGTTCTCACCTTGATTTGTGATCCGTTGAGTTTCACGTTCATCCAACCAATTGGGTCTACTTGCTGTGAGCTTCAGTGGAGTTTAGTGATCTTTTGCAATTCCCTCACTGCAGAAAGTTTTGTGCTGTGGGTGGTAGTTTAGCCACACCCGATGTACGGTCGGTAGTTGGTACACAAGCAGACGCAACATCACTCTTGTCCTAAAGGGCAGAGTTTATAATGCAACCGTCCGTTCAGCCCTCTTATACGGTTGTGGAACCTGGCTCGTCAGATCGACAGACATAAAGAGGCTAGTCATGTTCGACAATCGCTACCTTCGTAGCTTAGCTCATGTTTGGTGGGAGCACCGCGTGAGCAATGAGCATCTTTGGCGTCGCGTATTTGGTGCAGGAAGAACTAGTGAACCGCTCAGCACCAAGCTCTGATGGCTGGGCCCACGTGTTACGCATGCCAGCACACCGACTCCCGCGCCGTGCATTCTTTGCGCGCCGCGGTTGCGCTTGGAGGAGGAGGAGGGGAGTCGAGCGATGACTTGGTCAGGAGGATTGAAAACCCTCACTTTGAAGTTGGCATCGCTTGGTGCGTCCCGACTGCCTGGCTTATGTCCTAATAACGATGAACACGTTTGGTTTAACACAGAGGCTGATATGGCAAAGAGCCGGCCCCAATGGCGTTTGTGTTGTGAGTTTCTTTGTCCATCCCCCTTTTTGATTCCGTCTCCAATCCCGATCTCATACGAATTACATAATATAATATTTAACATCATATTACCTGTTTTTGACTTTTCATAGTGTAACTTTTTTGTATCCTACCCTTTTGTATTACGGCACATTAGCTGAGGTGAGTTTCTAGCCCTCAACTAACCTGTATTGGTGCTGTTGGTTGTTTCACAGCCCATGTTCAGCACTTATAAGCTGCCTGCTGTTCAATTGTTCGGGCTTCGATATGCTGTGATGTTTCTGCCTTGTGGTTAAGTGAATACCTCTCCGCGTTGCGATGGCATTGTTTTGGAAGCACTGAGAATAGGCGAAGCCTTAACGGATAATCATACAAGCGTTATCGAGTGACGAATAACTCAAAACCTTCAGCTGACCCTTATTTCCTCACCTGAGCTAATATATATTCATGCACCAAACGGTGTTGGATAGAACGTGTAGAGTTCTGCACAGCACTCAACCCCAGTGGCTTTTCCGTGGGGTAACTTATTATTTTTCGTTTCGGTAAGAGCCACTAACTTTGTCAACGAAGAAGCTATTACGCTGTTCAGTACGAGCTCTGCGGTTCTATAAATAAGCAGAAAAGATCAACCGGGCAATTTTATTCGGTTCTTACGGTTTTCAAACCTTTGCACACGTATTGAGACGGTGGGATGTAAGTTTTCATTGAAGGGAATAGTTTAAAATTCTGAGACGCGCCCAGTGCCATTGTATGGATCAGGGGTTTGATCACTGCCCACGGAATTTGTTTCTCTACTGATGCTTGCGTATTCATATTTATATTCGGCATTGTCGTAATATCCGTTGAAACCGAACTGCCTACGCTGGCTTGATTATGTACTGTAGGTACCGGTTGACAAATTGCCTTGGCATATGTGACTTTAATTTCGTTCCCTTCAGCTCTTGTCTATTCCTCGTGATTTATAACTCACTTTACGCTTATTTGTATTCCCAGCTGGATTCATGACAAGTGTATCCACCATGCTCTAGTACAAGAATTATGGTTTCTCAATTAAGGCAAATCGAATTATGTATCGTTCGTCAAAGCAGCATGCTATTAACCTTTTCATTCAAGGCACAGTTTACAACGTACAATACGAGCGGTATTACTGTGTACGGCCTAGGCACATGGCCGATGTTTTCCGATAACAATAATGCACCTGTCATTTATGAGAACCGGCGATTGTGAAGCACTTCTCGTATCTAGCGTGACCAACGTGTAAGCATTCCATGGTTTCGCTTACCAGAATTTGACAAATATCTTTTCAGCGTCGCTCTGGGTCTTATCTGCGTTTAATTTGACCAGCTTCTCGGTTCCTTGTCGACCACCTATCTCAGCGTGCACTAATTCAGAGCACTAAGCCTAGGGATGGGCTGAACCTCATGTTAATCGACTTATGACGCGGAGAAAAGTCATGAAGATTTTGCTCGGGAGATTTCACTTAGTTTGCGCATGCTGTCCTCTTTGATGAGGTGCACTGGACTTGTCATACCACCTGTTGAAGTCTCCTATCCGCATAATGTTCAGTCGCGGGGCCTACTGTATTTTTATATTTAACCTACCACTACTTGTCAGTATTTTCGCATGATGTGTGAATACCTTACCATTCCTTTTGTCTTTGCCGGCCCGTAGCCCAAACGACTACAAGCCTGTCTTGTGATCCGTTTGCGCGGGTTCGAGCCTGCGTAGGGGACCGGGCAACCCTCGGATTATCCCTAGCCTACGCGCGACTCTTGTTGATGATTGCGTGGCAGCCAAACCTCGGTACAACACGTACCGGCGTACTGCTTATACCTTTTATCTTTTGTCCTTAAATTCCATGGATCCGTGGGTTAACACGGTGACTCGTAAGTGTAAGGTCATGGACTCGAATCCGACAGGATCCGGCGAATGCGCGCTACTGACAGGTCCCAATAGAGCGAAACGGCCGTCTAATGCCCTCATGGATGTTTGATGACTGTATGGTTGTCTAGCTGCGAAGAACGCTTTCAAATACGCAATAAATCCCTCTGCTACTCTCGAATAAGTCCTGTCATTGTTTACACTATCTGCCTGCTTATTTTGAATTTGCCCCATAGCACTTCACGATTCATTGACCGTGATCTTCAGCTAACGCGCGGTATCTACCCATTCACTATCTGATTTGTATCACCTTAATCTGTTTATAATATCTTTACACGACCTGGGTGCGCACTTTTTCAGGTTACTGAAATTAATCACCCTGGCAGTTATCCACATGTAACCGTGGAGCTGGAACTATCCAATCTGGCCGTGAACACCTTGATTGTGGCGAATCGTATCCCCGAGTTGGAGGGCGCAACCTTGTTGTCCTTCGACCGGTTATCAGCCACGGATCGACCCATTGAAGAACAAATTAACAAGGGCATGAATCTCGGTGTCAATATTACCTCTTACGATGAGACCGCAGCGTGTTCGGCCGCATTTCGTGTGCTTCGGTAAGCGACAGCATTTTCTTTGCGTTGTCCTTGACTATTTACCCTCTTCATTCCGACCTGCAATCAGCACAATCGCACGTGTAGCATGTGTGTTATGCTGGCGTGTGCCGTGCAATGTTAACGCGACTTTCGATCCGAATTTGGACCCTTAGTCACCATCATTTGACTTTTCTGTTAAATGATCAAGCGCGACCCTCAATCTTCCCGTCCGTGTTGCCTTCTCACCTGGCCTGGAGTTTTGTCATTTTTGTGTTGCTCACTAATTTTATTTGGGCCAAGAATTGTTGACTAACACATCCCCATATGGTTACGCAAAAATATGGTGGATATGACATTTGAGCCAGGTGAGTGGATAAGCTGGGACTACCCCAGAAATCATGAGGCATCTGCTGAACGCAGAACAATCCCGACACATCACTCGCAATTCTCATGCGCAGAGCTTCACATTCTGGAACCTCTGAAGGACCTTGCTGATTGAGAGCGGCCGCAGCTCTTCGTGCAAAGCGCTAACAGGGACACTGAATCTACCGGGGTACTGGTATTCGTGTCAATTGACTACCAATTGTTCTCACGTGAATTCTTTCTTTCGGAACATTCTTGGATGCATGTATGTGCTTCAGGGGCGTGCACGAATCCGCGCAGTCATCTCGCAGCCTGTTTCTCCTGACATTCCTATTCAAAACACTGTGGAATTCGTTCTATCCCGTCTGACGTCGTTTTTCACTAAGAGTAGGTAAATTTCTGACTGGTAAATGGGGCTGTATCTATCACTCGTCCTTTGCTGCCGTCCTTCAGATGAATGATGTTCAAATAACGTGGTTGGTTACACTGCACTGAAATCAAACTTAGAGATATGTTCACATTTATTAGCCATGAACGAAAAATGAAGGCATCAGCAGTACGACGGCACAACGTACTGACGCTTCACTATCATTTGCGAGAACTGGGTCTAGCCCGGGGTCCCCCTCACTTACACGGATTCGAACCGGTGACCTCTGGATTACCAGACAAGCGTCATCTTTTCGGTCACCGACCGGCCATTAGTCGTAATGTATGAAAGGATGATGGGGCAACAACTGAATTGACAATCCTCACTGAAACTCACCGGCGGCTTACTGAAGCACCTGAGCAAATAAATGCGATTACCGATTCCCCTAAAACAGGGAGTCTAAACGTTTTGAGGTAGAAATATGTCGGGCCATATTTAGTCTGACATTAATGTAATAACAAAAATTACACATGTACGAACAAAGTCCAATCCTGGATTTATTATTTCATTATGAGGCCGCAGGCCGGACTTTGGACACTCCTGCCCTAAAACACGTATGTCGTGCGGGGAGGGGGACTCGTTTCATATTCGCTGACTATCATCTGTGGCCTCCGTTAACGTGTGTAACACAGATTAATCGACAATCTCACACTAGTTCAGTTATGTCGATTTTTGGTCAATTCTTTCGTTGTGCGCCAGGTTAATCAATGGAAACTTGCGTACCGAAACTTTGCTTTGCATAGTAGGCATCTCTTTAAAGGCTAAGTGTTCCTCCGTCTACAATTCAGGCAAAACTTTGCTGTTCACGATGGTACTTGTATGGGTATTCTAACCTAAGCTCAACACGCTCTTGAACATCCCAGGAATTATCACCAATCATATATTTTGGTGACACCTGTACTGTTCGTTCTCAACTGAACTATTTTTCAGGTTCTCTGCAACACATCATTGAGAGCGAAAATAGCAGTTGTATGGAAGTAATGAGTCTACAGACTTGCCTTGCAATTATTCTGCCGCTCTCTCCAAGATTCTGTTAGCAGGCCTATGTACTATGTTGTGCTATACTAAGCAGGCCCCTGGCCGAAAGGATAGATCATCTGCCATGCAACCCGGAGGTCGCGAGTTCCAGCCTGCGCAAAGGACATGGCGGCCTTCGCAGTATCCTTAGTCCACACGCTACTGATGGTTGCGTGGCAGCGAAGTGTGGGTACGGCGTACTGATTGTGCCTTATTACCTCTCGCATCAGGCTACTCGTCTATACCAAACTCTTTAATCCGTCCCAACCCAGCTGTGACGATATATTGCAGTAATGTGTAACGGTTACTGACATATTTTTTTATTTTCTTTGGCTTGTATCACGCCCTGGAGCATCGATATTTTCCATGCTATCGTATTTTTATTTTCAGAATTTCGGGCAACTTATTTTGCATTCGCCCTTTTGGACATGTTTAGTTTGTTGCAATAGTCCCGTTCTACCCAAACATCCATTTAACCGCTTCTCACTTTATCCGCCCACTTACAGCACGATGGTCATTGGTTGGGTTCGCGACGTAACTCAATATCAAAATCCATTGGCTGATGAACAAATCATATATTTCTATCAGTGGCTACGCTCACCCCGCTCGTTGCTGTACGATCCGGCGCTGCGCCGTACTGTACAGAAGCTGATGAAAAAGGTAGGTCTTGTATTCTCTCCATCTAGGAGGTACGCGGGGTCGTCCGCCATGTTCCTTGCTTGTTCGTTGTTTTTTCTTAAACTGTCACCCGTTTTCTGTTCAACCGCGGAGCTGTTCGTCATCCTTCTAGTTCGCTGCGAACATCCCATGATACATTGTCTACGTTTTGTTTTCTCATATAGTCCACACTTGGTTCTTCCCATTTCTTTTCGCATGCTCGATGTTGAAGCCAGATTGCTCCATCTAACCTTTACTTGAAAATTCTAATCATTATTTCCGCCTTTTTAACGGTCCTGTCCTCCAGGTAACCCCCACAACTTTATCCACTAGAATCGAGCACATAACCGACGTTGATCGCCCCCTGAATACATATTTATAGCATTAAAATCTTCAACAAACAAATGTGTAATCTCGGGTTGAAACACCCCCATTTGCTACTGTCCATTGCTATGCGATTAAGCCTTACGATAATGCGACGACTTGCGTGCTTCCTCGATCTGTGTTAGCTGAGTGACATTTAACAGTTGGCTCCAGGTCCCTCCTGCCAGACCGTCAGACCTTAAATGATCTCAGTCTCAAGCCAGAATGCATTCCATACTCTGTGAGCGTCCATGTTAACCGCAGCCTTCAGTTACTTCCTTTAATCAGGTGTATGGCTGACTGCGTGAACGCCCAGGTGCACCATCTATCTGAGTCGAAACATCAACTAGATGGATTGTTCGTTTGCCGCACTAACTGGCAATCGGTCTCCTTGATTGTACTGTCTGGTAACATGGGACAACACCTTCCGGCAACAATTTCGACATCAGGACACCAGCCATCCTGTGCTCAGAGACGCCGCGCTTCGGGGCATGATTATCGGTCAGTTTGGAGTACATTCCTAGTTTACATATAACAAATGGCCTATTTATCGACGATGCGAAACACAGACCAGCTGTATGGTCTGATCGTTCTGTACAGCGTAATCCGGTAGTAGAGAAAGTTTCGTGTTTTACAAAGGATCTCTCGAATGGGGTTTTGAGTTGTTCCATCGATTAAAAGTAATAAGAAGACGGAAAAGCCGAAAGTAAGAATAAACGTAGACATAGTCACCAGCCGTGGAACCATTTCATGGGAACTTGCTTCCATTCGAGGCAGCCCATGGAAACGTATCATCCACACTTCCACGCCTCATCTGACCATGTGTTGATGTGGCTTAAACTCAACTATAAGCCGTCATCATGTTCACTGTTTTTGGCCGATCTTATAAGCCAAGTAGATGGTCATTGTGTGCCATTGTTGCTACAGAGCAAATAGACTAACACCGTAACAACTCGTTATTCCATCATCCGACTCATTCGAGTCCAGCATCTCGTTTTTCTCGCCAGTAGGTCTGGTAATTCGACTTGCGTGGATGTTATTAGTTAACTCGGATACTTTAATCCATCACCTCGGCGCAGTCGTGATCAGCCATGGAAAGAGAAAAAAATGTACAGAAATGGTTAAAAACTAACTTGAGTAGATGTCATAGGCTTCCTTAGGATGAGATATAGTCTGCCGGTTATCTGATTCATTTTGTACAAGCAATAGATGGAGACAAGTAAGCGCTCGAAGTAGTATAAACAGGGCCTCCTAGAGGATTTTCTGGAGATTCCCTCCGGTGAAGCCAGTCGAAAAACATAGAGGACGGAGAACTGCAGCATGCATCTGAGTCATGATCTCCAGGATAGAACAGAAGATAACATGTAGTATATAACGGATGCAAAGAAATACTACGGAAAAGCCATGTAAATTTTTGGGAAACGCTGGGTACAGCGGTGAATGATTGCTATTGTGGGTTATTTTGAAATACACGTTGTGTGGATGGATTGCGACAAGCAATCTAAAAGTGGATCGTGATCGAAAGCCCATGGTTCACTACAATGGGAATCGCGATCAATATTGAGATTACGTGTCACAATCCATCCACACAACGTGTACTTGCAACTGACTCTAACTATGACGAATTTTCTTTTTCTTAAGCTTAGATGTAACCTTTAGGGGGGGAATGCGCGTTATTAGGCAAAATAACTTATTGACACTGCTATATGTGGGGGACCCAGTCGAGTCGGGCGACAAACAAAGAAACTGGGCATCCACCTCATGCTCATATTGTTCCGATTTCATAAAGACATTCCTTTGTCATATTTGGTCTCAATACATCATTAACTGTTTCAACGCTGAGAGATGAATGTAATGCCTTTCGAAACTTCATTGTTGACTGGACTTCACGTATCATCTCATTTGGAAGTCTCTTCCATAATGTGGAGTATCGGTTAAGAGAAAACTTGTCCGATGGTTTCGTTCTTGATCTTTTCACCATTACTTTGTTGTTGTTGTTGTTGTTGTTGTTGTCGTTGTGGTTGTTTCTGGTGTGATGCCTTTCCGGTTTTTTACTCGTGATACTGGATTTGAGCAATGTGCTTTTTGTTATAGATATCAAAGGGGACGATACGTTTAAGTTTCAGTCGGTATAGACATAATAAGTCAAGATTTAAGGATTAGCCTAGGAAACGTTGAACTCGCTCTGCCGTTATACGAGCAATCACTCTGCAGTTGTAGTAGAGTAGAGAGCCGTAAACTAATCATGGACATGTTTGTATTCTGTACATAGCGTTAATCGACTTTGTCAGTGGGAAGCTCGCTGCCCCGGCGAGCTTGTGTTGCAGTATCTCCGGCGTACTCAGCGAAGTTAAGGATGTCCAAGCAACCTATCCCTTGGTCACAGATGGTATGGCAGTAATACAATGTAAGCGAACCCTGTGCGGTTTCACACCGGTAGGATACCACGTGACATCCTCATCTGGGAACATCATGAATCAAGCGTATGTATGTCGCTTTGGATTAAGCTGGGAATATCACTGAGACCAGTGGGTTTAAATATGTAAATAATCGTTGTGTTATCAATAAATAGAAGCGGTTTGTCAAAAATTAAGATGTCAAAGTGTCATCCACATATACTAGGAACAGTAAAGAGTCCAGGACATTGCCCCTTGTATCACACGACTAGGGATGGGCTTGGACGTGCTTTTTTCATTTTGAAGCTGTACAACCTGGGTTCTGTTCGTGAGGTACGGCGCAAACTACTAAAACAGTAGGTTGGCTGTGCCATGTGCAGTTAGTTTTGGTAAAAGGTAAGCATGCGGAACACGATCAAATGCGTTTTGCATGTCAAGGTAGGCGACTATTGCTGATGAACCGCAGCTGCTCGAGAAAGCCGATCTGTCATGTTATGCAAGATCACTCACTTATCTCAACAAAATGCCCATCTGGCCATCTGTGATCCACGAAACTGTGATCCCGTGCCGTTTTGGAAATTCAGCCCTCTTTGACAAACAGAGTAGTTCGGCCAAATGCGGTTTGGAATTGTTTTCTGTGCCCTATAAGGAAAGTCTTCGAGACCGCTGTCTATTTTACCTGATGAATGTGACTAAGTGATGCAATTCCAAAGAGTCTGTTGGGACACTTGGCTGGTATCTGATAGCTCTGCCTAACAACCACCCTAGTTTTGCTCGCAACGCTATGCGTTTTTGCCAACACTGAGTTGGCAGAAATAAGAAAATTCCACATTTTGAAATATGCTTGAATCCGATCGAGAATTCACAATTTCAGAAGCGTTTAGGAACAATCGGTTGGTATCGGCGGAGGAAAACGTTTCGCTTTAGACACAAATGCTTCGTCAGGCCAAGTGAACTGGCGAGGGATTTGCGTAGCATTTGTGGCAAGCTGAGACGATAATCGCGACAACCGAAAGGTAGATAAATAAATTCTTGTTCTCGTCAAAGCGAGGCACGTTGTATCCACACATCAGAGATAGTAAGATCCCAAATGGTCCACTGTACAATGCCATCGCACGTAAGTCCATGTCAGTGATGGGGTCAGAAATGCTTTGATGGTTGCGCGCGGCCCAAAATCCGTCCATCGACGCTCCAAAGAAGGAGATTATTTCCTCCTTTTCAAGTAGCCAATGAATACAAAACCGCTGGCATAATCCATAAAGGAACATCGTTGTTCGTTTGACTAAGTCGCTTGTTACCTTTGAAAGCTCAAGCCAGTCTTTGCGTACCTTGTAAATTCACAACTCAAATGCGACTATGTAAAGTTATTTGACCAATGGATTATCACATCTGTCTGTTTGCTTAATTATGACGCAAACATTGTGTAGATCGCGAGTGTTTGAATCATATGGGCTAGCGTCACTGCCAGGTTGGTGTCGAGATTCCTTCGGATTCCACTTTAGGGTGACATCTTAGTCTCTCTTGTTGCAACTAAATAAATGCGTATAAGCTCGACTTTTGCTAAATACACCTCGGCGTGCCTAGTCAGTAGTGGGAACAAAACTGCAAATTAGCAGTTTATATGTGTCAGCGATATGCTGGTAAATAATTGTAATAGGATGCCGATTTCGAAGTCAAAATGCTCTTTGAATACGGTCGCTGTCGCTCATAAACTGGTGAACTTAGCTGATTTTCCTTAACATAAAGGGGATGTTGGTGATAGTGAGTTGGATTTCCATGAAAGTGAAGTTGACTTGTCTGATTAAAATACGGCTGATGTCTTAACAAATAATGTCGAAGGTGGGAGTCTGTGTGGCGTTCGTTTTCAATGCAGTGTATATCCTGCAGTGAAGATTGCGAAGAATGAAATCTTTGTAGTTATCTATGTATGCTTCCATTTTACTCTATCCGCATTATAGTCTGTCACTTTCGCGTTGAGCAGGCGGCACCTGAGTTGATTACATAGGGAGGTACTGCAGACGAACGCAGTTTGGGCTGGAACGACTAATGTGGAAGTGGCAATGCTTCAACATTATTGGTAGGAAAGTAATTTGCCAGTCACCAAAATTGGATCGAAATGTGTTTTCGTTGCACTTGCCCGAGTAAATCAGAGAAGGGGCAGATTGGAATTCTGAAACAGTCCACAGGTTACTCAGTATACGAGTGGAGAAGGCTGCTGTAGTGATCTCAATTCTATAATGTCAAAGGTAGAGAAATATGACACAAATCTACGATGTTCTGCGCCATACAATGAGTTAAAAAAGTTAGTAGATCTATGTAGCTTAACTGGTTTATAGTATATTCAAAGGGACACACTAGTAAACTCAATCAGGTCCGTGTTCCCATCGCTCATCAGGTAGCTTACTAATGTTCATGGATTGCGGTATGAAGGTAGTGCTCAGAATTCCTCTAAACAGACGCAAAACTGTGCAATTTTATTTAGTGTCATAATGTCCGATGGTAGTTGTTTTGCACGTTTACCTCTGTAAAGGATAAAGCTATAGCGAATCTTTGAAGGTGCTTTCAGTAGATCGATTGAATAACGCCCATGCCTTTGTGGATAGCCCCAACGCGTCTGATTAGAAATGTGTTCATCTACATCGTATGCTGTCAATTTTCTCTCAGGTGTTCCTCAAGCTAGTGGATGAGCTGAACCATCTCTCAGTGGATGTGGTTTTCGCTAATTTCAATCGACTGCTCGTTGCCACTCGACGTATGGAATTGCCCGAGGCGTTGGCACGTGTGGATCATTTCACAAAACTTCTGCGTACCCGATCTGGGACTCTTTTCACTCATCTTGATCTGCAATATGTGATGAGTTGGCGTCAACTCTTCTGGATGGACCCATTCAACTATGCCGGTATCAAGGTTTGTTCTGCTTTTAGATCATAAACACTGTTTCTAATTCGACACCGAACACTTTCTCCGCTACCTCTTGTGCTTCCTCGTCTGTTCCGATGGTCAACCCTTCCTTATACTACCCAACCTATCGAAGCTGTGTAAACCACAACTTCATCTTACATCAGCTGTTGAAACACTGTCCCGTGTAATGGTGACCCACTCTACTGGTGTTCCTTGATGGAAAATATACCTCTGATTCAGTGGCTCAGCACTTCGTATCGACACATCGCTACCACCTTACGCCTACCATCTGATTAGGGCAAATAGACTTGAGGTGTGTGAATAGTATAAGCGCTTTTCACGCGTAATTCGGGTAGAAATAGGGCTTCTGACAAGCTGTCGTGTGTTCTAAGCGCGTTCACCGACTTTTTTATGGCGCAACAAATACATGTGTACCGCTCAGCAGCATCATTAGTGCGCACACTTTAGGCTGCGTTGGCCGGGCCATGTGTTACACATGTCAGCACACCGACTCTCGCAACATGCATTACTTGCGCGTCCGAGGTCTGGATGGAGGAGGAGAGGCGAGGCCAACCAGTGACTTGGTCAACATAAATGAAGGCTCTTTGTAGAGTTGGCTTCTGTTGATGCCTCCTTATTCCCCATAGTTTGATCCCAAAGACAATGAACAAGTTTGCTCTCATACACGTGTTGACATGGGAAAGTGCTCGTCATCATCCAATTTTCCCTACCCCCTAATTACCATTCCAATCCCGATGCACACGATAAAATGGAAGAATATTACTTTTTTTATCTTGTATTTGCTATATTTTCTTTTTTATTGCTATGCACTTGAATCGCATTGCGGCGCAATCATCGTGTTGTTGCTCATCTTCTAACCAACCTGCAGAATGAATGACGAGGACAGCATTTTCCGAGAGGGTCTTTTGATTGTATCATTTATCTGTAATTTATGTGGTCATTGTGTTTTCCGCTTGCTAAGGTGCAGGAAGAGAGACTACTTGGGGAACATCATCCTAAGCTTTGGACCGTGAAGGCTTGACCCGCGAATTCTTGGGAACCAGGTACCAAAGTCGGTATAACACGGACCTCGAGTGATGTCAAAGTACTCAGGGTCTTTGCACGACAGCACAGAGGCCAGAACCAACGAACTCCTCTATATACCGGAATAGGTTGACTCCCGGCTAGCTCCCATGTCTTCTTGAAAAGAAGAAGACATCAGCAGTACGCCGGTACTCAGTACTGACGCTTCACTGCCGCGCAACCACCACCAGTCGCACGTGTGCTAAGGATACTGCGAGGGTCGCCGTGCCCCTACGCAGGCTCGAACCCGCGCCCTCAGATTACAAGGTAGGTATGTGATCCTTAAGCCTACGGGCCGACCAATGCCTACTTTATCTTCCAAAGATGAGTTCAACTAGAAACCAGCGGTCATCGAGGTAGCTCACCCATTTCTTAATATGTACTCCAATCCTAACGGTACCCTTCGCGAGCGGTTTCCTGTTTATTTGCATTATATCTAGACATAGCTGAACTTTGAGTGGGTAACATCTAATGTGCGTATTCTTTAGATTCAATCCCAATGGTCTGATTGATCGAGCTTCACTTTGTAATACATCCACATCTGAGTTGCGTTGGTGTGTCACAATCCACACACACACACACACACACAAGGAGTATCCTAAGCAGTCCAGCAGTGCACCGTTAAACGCAGAGTCCGGTTATATCATGGTAGTGGCGATCTCTATGTCGCTTATTCGTGTCCTAGTTCAGTTATTGCCAGGCGGAGAATTCAGTGGAATGCAGGATTGGAAGCTAGTAGCACTTAGTATCTAAATGTAGAACTTTTTTATTTTCTGGCGCAGAATTTGTTAATACTTCCAGTGAACAATATTGATAAAAATCATCAGATAAATAACCAAATTGTAGTAAAGATCTGATGATCGTAACGGGGTCGCTCTATTCATCATGTCGGTGGCTAAAAATCCGACATACCGCAGTCGCTGAGTCCATAATACCGTTGAACTTTTGTTTATCTCCTCTAACGATTTTTTTCTTTTCTGCGGTTAATTTTTTCTTTTTCCCGCTATTTGTTTCATCCGCTAGTAAGGTGCACTACCATGAAGACGCTGCTGATGTCAGCTAGGTCATCTGTAATTCACTGCTCGGCTTATCTAGCTGAACTTTACATTGACATATGATACCTTTGTTTTGTACAACGTATTGTTGCAGAACTAGACCAATACATCACCGATGTTAGCTATCAGGGAACAGCCACTAGAAGTGGCGGATCGGTTCACTCACCTCTGATGGTCACATCACTGAGGAGGCTACTGCGCGCATCAGTCAGACACGTGTGACATTTCAGGGGCTCGACCATGTATGAAGACGGTTAAATATCAGCTTGTTGGTGAAAGATAGGTTGTTTAATGTTGCGACAATGCCGGTGTTACTGTATAGTTCAGGTACCTAGCCGGTTCCTGACTTATACATCAGACGTTTTGTCGTGTTTGACCATCTGTGTTTGCAGAGTATTGCTTACATTTGGTGGAAACGCTGGGTGAGTATTGCTGAGTTCCACCAATTGCTTTTTTCTGTGAAGCCTTCTAGTGCTTCACTCGAGTGTTTGCTTAAGTTCAACCGTGTACGCGTTGGCTAGGCCATGTCTTCTGTATGCCCTTTGACCGGCTTCCTCAGTGTGCACTGTGCATCTTGGCTGCACCAAATTGGGCGAAACCGCGAGGTGGGCAGTCCATGACGTGACATAGAAGCTTAAAGAAATTGACTGAGAGACTTTGTCATGATAATGCTTGCCGTCTTCGTAGATGGGAGCCATATGATAGTCTATATCATTGCTTGAAGACTCTATCAGACATGGCGCAGTCAGTGGCTTCCGTGCATTCGGTGTCTTGCATCTGATGGTTAATTTTCCATCCCGATTAATTTTGCGCAGTTATGTCTCGATTCCATTTTCTTTGTATTCACTTTTCCTTCAATCTCATTCTCTTACCATTGTTATTTATTGTTATTCTGGCTACGTGAGTCGTGGCAATTGGATCCACCGTACTTCGGTGCCCGGATCATAGCTGTTCAACCGATATGAACTGAACCTTTGTTTTTATTGCTCGCTGCGTGACTGGATCTGGTCTCAAATATACCCTCCCTGTCATTCTCATCTTCGAGACTACCCTCGATTTCGGTTCAACTTTTCAGTACCACAACGTAATCGCACCACCTGTAACTCATCTCCTTCCAGTACATGCAGACGTTGTTTTTCGCAGCAAGTCACCCCAGTGGTCTATCCGGTTGTCGTGAGATCATTGGTTTGATTTTCGGCCTTTAATTGTGCGACGCTAAATGGGACATTTTTATTTTGGCTGAATGGATTCCCCACTTTTAGCCCAAGTTTTTCCCGCTACGTTTCTCATCTCTACTGTTTATGTAATTCGTCTTGATGCCTTATAGGCTAATGTCGACAATCTGGTCGACGGGAAAGATGTCGAATGGGGTGAGAGCGATGAACCGGACGCAAGTGCGGATACAGTCCGTACCAGCAACTCGGCTGGGCTCACTTCTTCAGCCGAGGCACTCCCCGAGCCTGAATTGGATATGCACTGGCATATTTCTCGCTATCTTCCTGAGACCAGAGGACTTCGCGGGAAATTCTTAACTTTGTTGGCGGGCTACCTGTTGTCTGTCTATGTCGCTGTTCGAACGGAACACAGACGCCTCCGTAACTTTGCTGCCTCACAAGTAAGCTCTCTGATCACTGGTATGCTTTTCATCTCGCCTCATGTACTTTTTTGCATGACCCTTCATTTTGTCACTACTGTTATTCTCCTTTTCGTTTCAGTCCAACGACATCCGTGGTCGAAATGCTGATCCGCTACAACGCTCTGTCGACGCCTCTGAATCGGACCGTGGCCAACCTGAACCATCAACGAATCCAATTCAGTCCGATGCTTCTGTTTCTCCTAGCGTGCTGGAATTTGTCGAACAGCTCATTCGTAACAAATTGGCTCCTGAGCTATACACGCTCGTCCAGCGCCTACATCGAAAGGCAGCGTGGATAGACCCTGGATTGATTCAAAAAGGTGTGCCTCGGAGTAGCTACTCACACGCCCTTCTGAGTCACCGCTTGGAAGTGTTATCGGCCTACTTGGCTGAGAAACCAATCCGGCACGATTCGATCGATACAGTGTCTGGTGTGGAATCGACTTTTCTGCTTCCACTGCTCCCGCCACACCCCTCTTTAGTGTCAATGTCATTTACCCCATTGTTGGATTTCATAAAGGCTATTTGCGAGGTAACTACTTTCTTACAAGAGTTTTTCTGGTAGCACTTTCTTGGTGTCCTCTGCGTTAATGACCTTAACCGATTCTTTAAAGTACTAGATCACAGGACTGTACTGATCTCACTGAAATCGATGGTTGATTTTCCGATTTCACCCAATCCCACGTTGCCGAATCCTCAAGTGTATCACTTTGGGCCAAATAGTTCCTTCATAGTTAGAATCGTTAATATCGCCTGTATCATCTGGAGAAAGGTTGAAGAGTCGTCTCTCCCTTCGAATCTCATCACTGACACCAATTTCCCTCAGGTTTTTCTAGCATCGAATTCATAACCTCAGCTTGTAATTTTGCATCTGGACATTGATAACAACAGCGACTGGGGCGGCTGTTGCTGTAATCTCACGCTTCACATCCCCCACCATCATGCGCATTTCCGCTGCGCTTAGGGTGAACTTGACACAAAATGCGACTTCCGTCATTTAGGCGCCAGCTACCTCAAGGCATTGTAAACTACCTGCGTAATTACTGGTCCTGAGGTTACGTACTCTTGCTGATCATTTTGATTACTAGTGTCTTGAGTTTGCCACCTGATGGAAGAATTGCCCACTACTACCACACCTCTCGCCACTGGTTCGCCTATGACTGGTACTTCTTCTCTCTATTGGGTAATTAATCAGCTTGTGAATCTATGTTTTTCCGAGGAATCCATTTATTCCGTCTATTCAACTCGACCGTCTCTCTCGTTTGTCAGATTCTCAGTCTGGAAACGTCCACACGACGACAAGTGCTTGGCGTCCGTCGTGATCTACTTCGCTTGATCGGAGTGGGCGAATTCTCTCCCGAGGCCACTTGGGTGCCTCCGCATTTAGCGCTTGATCTACCCCTGTCTGAACAACACAATTCCAGTCTGCGATCTTTGGCCACTATGCGTTCACTGTTAGTCTACCTACCGGAGGTGGCCTGCCCAACTTGTAACTTCACTCGCGATATTGATGCCTGTCGTGATACGTATTTAGTCAACCTGGTGGATAACACCGTTGTGGTGAATGGCGAGTCTTCAAGTCATTGGGTGTGGATATGCCCACATTGTCGGACAATCTATCCGAAAAACCGACTGGAAGACGCTCTGGTCCAACAGTTGGAGCAAATCGCCTTACAGCATTGTCTCCAGGTAACTTGCACGTGTGGGGCCGACATAATGCTCTCTTAGTTTTTCACTGCTTACCAATCGGTATCCAGGTTGTGCATGTAATTTTTCACTTTTACCTGAATTGGGTCTCAGCTTCTTGTCAGCCCGCGGACGCTTCCTTGATTAAGCCACCTCTGGTACCGGTTTATGTCTGTCTACTGTGTTGGTAATCTACGCGCCCCGCTACGAGGCTGCTTCTAGGAGACGCCACGCTGTGACGTAGTGGCATTATCGTACGAAAGCATCGGTGGTAGGGCAAGTGATCTTACACCATTTGTTTCAGCTGCGAGCTGCACCCGAACACGCGCCACTCCACGAGTTTGTTGTCTCTGGGATTCCAACTTCTAGCCCCTGACTGATTTTCCCTGACCTAATCATCAGTTGGCTCTCAACAGCCTTCTTTTGCTCAACATCCCTCCTCAAATGTGTCGTACATGCTGGAAGTCAATGTCTTCAAGACTGTAACCTTTCTATGCTCAAAACTCGGGGCTATGCCGGTATTACAGACCTTTGGTTACGTTGCACATTTGAAACCTAGCACACCTTTATCTTCCCGGTGGTCGGTTGCCCCCAATTTATACTCCAGCTTCGCGACACGAGTCCGTCTGCCTAGTCCTAGCCTGATCCTAGCACAATCATACCAATGCGATTACTCTGGATAACCCAAAGTCGAATATATACGGGCTTATCTAGACCTCCCAGCGTGCCGACTTTGTGGTTTTGCACACTTGGTTTGGATTGTACGCATCACTCAGTAATGAAGACTTCGGGATATAAAGTAGGTTGGTCGTATTGTCCCTAATTTCTTGATCTGAAGTGTTGGAGTTCCGCTTTCGTCCATCTCGTTGGGTTCAATCGGTTCTTTTGGCCTATGGCGTACTCCTTGGTTGTGTGCAAGGACAAACAACAAGTTACCCACATTGCTTAGTATAAAGTGGAAACTCATGGGCTCTTTGGAGCACACTCCTCCTGAATTTTTACACATGCCAGTACTGCTGCTGAAACCATCATCCAACTCCCTCTTCTTGGTAATTTGAATGCTGTTTCAACCAGTAACATAGTTCGCAGGATGGAAAGTTGACAAGCTTAACGACTGCCACTCTCCTGGTTAACTTACTTGCTACGGCGCCGTTACAGTTAACGGCGGATACTATTGCCGCAAAGACAAGTGACCTGTATCCAGCTGTCGAATTTATACAAACTGCACTCGCAACGACGGACTCGACACCCTGTCTGAAATTGAAAGTTGTTTCGAAGCGCGGCATAGTCCAGTTTACAAGATGGCAGGTTGACACATTACCCTACCATCGAGTGTGGTACGACAACTTACTTAATCTCCCATACTCTGGATTAAGCAGAGAATCTCTCGTTGATTTTGTTGTTAACAAGCATTTTGACGCATGTTTTAACTCCGCATGCAACATTTTAAACGAGACTCCTCTCACCTCCTACATACGGTTTAGCTAGTACGGCGTCCATTCCTTCCGCTCTGTCAACATTCAGTTTTATTTTCACTCACCTCTTCGTATCGCAAATCCATATTATCTATCTCGCTTGTTAGTCAATCCAAAAATGATGGCGCAACAATTACGAGAACGTTTGCTTGCTTGAAAATGAATTCCTCATTTGTTGTCCGTGTCATTTCACATCATTTTCCCACCGATCCTATGTTGTTCGCAGTCTTAATGTAAATTGCTGAAAATCTTCCCACATGGGTGTATAAAAAGCTTACCTTGACTTGACCTTGAATGTGGCTCATGTACATTTTGGGGGGTTCTGGATACTTACTGCACTCGGCATATCATGTGCAACTGCTTAACCTAACGATTTGTTGTTTTCTTGAAACCTATTCGCAGTCGATCCCAACTCAGATTGTCTCCAACACGTTCGATAAACCACTAGACAGCCGCTTCGTCAGTAGTGCGCACCTCCCGGCTTCACCAAGAATCGGACCCATAACTTCCCGTCGCCAGCGTCTTATGCCACTAAGTATAAGTGACAACCACAGACCGTCATTACTACTAAGTTCCCTGGGTTAACAGCGCTTCTCATTATCCATCTGGTTGCAAATTATGAACCTTTGCAGAGGACATAGTTGGCCCCTATATCCATGGCTTCCCATAACGGCGGCTATGTACGACATGGCGAACATTTTGTTATTCAGACATAGAAACATTAACTTCATGTTCCCCTAACTGGACTGCATGTGAATTGTGGTCTTCTTAGCTTCTCCATTGCCCGTGCTTTTAATCCATTACCCCTTTGCGAATGCCTCCACGTATGCGTTGGTCCCCACCTCTTCTTGATTCAGTAAGATGCTACACGCCCATTTTCACTGCACTTTGTTGATGGCGTATGTTAGTGTTCCTGTAAAGGAGTGTAGGCCGGCTCCGTTGATGAAACGTGGCTCCCATCCACATGCCTCCCGGTCTTATTCCTTCGGGTTTACACTGGATATGGGGTGTGTGGTTGGAGCTGTGGGTGGTGCAGCGCAAGCCACCCATGGTCCCTCTGTAGGCGCAGGCGTCCTGTGGCTGACCACAGTGACAGGCGAATCCGAAACCGGATGCCGCCAACCATGTATGTATGTGTGCCCCATGCTGAGGCTGATGCTGCATTCATGATGCTTCTTCACCGCAGTTGGTCTAAACCAACTTACACTTAAACTTGGTCTTTTTAATGTGGATAAAATTCATTCCACTTTATTTCGTTTGTTCTACGTACCTGATAATCTTCTCCTAACTTGCATACGTCGCTCATGCAAATTGTGGTAAACTTGCGTAATTTTGTCGCGCGGTATTTTTTAAAATAACTTTCGGAAATTTTGTACTTATCGCGGATTCTCTTACAACCAATTTCTTCCAGATGCTCATTTAGCGAGTATTTATGTCGTCATATACATTTATTTTATTCGACATCGGCATTTCGAATGATTGTCTGTTGTTTGATATCTCAGGTGTGGCTGCGCTTGATATGCATGTTGACAAGGTGCCTACCTGTCTATTACCCACTACCTCGTCCATACTGGCTCTAGGAGACAGTTGGTCGTTGCTGGAGGGGACGGGGTGCACGGTGCTTGTGGTCGTGCTAGGCTCGAAGAGTGGTTCCCTGCAGTCAGTGTGGAGCGGACTACGGTCCAGCCACCGCCTTGTGTGTACTTGATTCTCCAAATACAGCGTGTTTGTGTTTGCCTGTGAAGGAGTGTGGGCGGGCTCCGTTGATGAAACGTGGCTCCCATCCACATGCCTCCCGGTCTTATTCCTTCGGGTTTACACTGGATATGGGGTGTGTGGTTGGTGCAGCGCAAGCCACCCATGGTTCCTCTATAGGCGCAGGCGTCCTGTGGTTGGCCACAGTGACAGGCAAATCCGAAACCGGATACCGCCATCCATGTTAGTGTTCCTGCCGATTAGCGATTGTTAGATTTAGTGATACCGTCCTGTGACAATCTGGGAGGAAACATTTCTTGATCACAAGATATTGAATCAACACTGGCCGCTCTTCTGTCTTTCACTTTGCCACCTACGATAAATGTACCCATTCTGTTGAAATTGTCTGCCTTGGTTGTATGAAAGTCATCTTTGGGATAACTCGAACTATGGTGCTCCTGAATGAACCTCTGGCTCAGCAGCCTTATGTTGGGAGGGTCGAACTGCGTTGTGATCACCACATTAATTTTAACCTCTAATCCGACAAACTGTAGCCAAATCAACTCTGACCCTGACGCTGTCGACTTGCCTAATGTACTTCCTCTTGGAAACGCACACTATGTCAACTTCTGCTTTAGCCGGTGGTACCGTGGTTCAGGTGATATGTTAGTTTGTCGGTACGAAGGATCTTAATCACGTATCTACTGCATAGTGCCGTTTGGCAGTTTGGACTATCGCATTCGCTGTGTGGCCATTGGACAGAAAATGCAAGCACTGTCACCTGTTATTGGTGTAGCTTAGCATGGACGAGACTCGCCATGTAGTGCCATAGAAGACAGTTGTGGACTGATAATTCGAGCAACAGCGAGTGTCAGTCAATGCACTCAAACGGACGGCATTGGATAGATGACGTAGACTTTGTGCACTGCATAAACGACTCACTTGTATTCATAACCAACAGATATTTTGGTCGTCGTTCAGGCTTCGTTTTCACTTTCAAGAGGATACACTATCTGAGAGTGTTCAGATGTTTTTGACGTCTGACACTTTATCGACTACATGTCTACCAGCGCATATTGCTAACTGCTCTTTCTGAACAAATATTTCTTCTATTCTCCTATTTCAATCGATTGGATCCTCTTCACGAAGCACACTGTCATTAGTTCGTTTTTATTCACACCGGAAACTATTCGTCTCTTGCCTTCATGTCGCTCGACGGTTTCGTTCCACGCAGCATGTATTGAGCTCTTATCACCCTTTACCTTCTCCTGTTCGTTGATCGATTTTGTGCCCCACTTTTCTGGCCGCTTCATCAGCTTGTAACAACCGCCGTTACTTCTGACTCGGCTGTCTGTACCTATCGCTAGGTGAACCACACTGTCCTCTGTTTCGTCTCACAACTAAAGCGGCCTGAGACTATGCTTCAGCTCACATATCTTGTTTTTCTCTCGCTCGATCTGAAGACCACCACTCGACTGTTCTATTCAGTACGTAAGATCAGAAACCCGCATTGGCTTAATGTGTGTCAAATCCACCCGCCCACCCACCGTTTGCCAAAGTTTGCATTGCTGTGCTTGCCTGGTGTTATGTCGGATGGGACCCGTGGTGGCGACCGTTGCTTTGATTACGGGAAATGAAGACACTACTGACTAACTTGTATTACTCATTAGTAATAACTTGCATATTATCGGTCCGTCTCGATGACTATGTCGCACTTTGAAGATGATATGCGTGGGGGGATGGTATACAGTCTCGGCATGGATGATTCTTTTGCTATCGTTTTCTCACCATAACCAATTGTTCGTGCCAGTGTGTTACCTACGGGATGTCCTCCCATTGATCTTGCTTCTTTACGTAGGACATTCAGCTTATCTTCTCCTTTTCTTACTAGTATTCCTCTATGATGGGATAACAATAAATCATCAGTCCAACACTACATCTGTGGTGACTGCCGATGGCGCTGATGTTTTGACTCTGATTTTGTTACCGTGTTTTCTTTCCTTGGATACTGTACATTGGTCGTACGTGAATGTTTCTAGGCGCTTAGAAGTCTTTTGTCCTGAAAATTTCTTTTCTAACTGCTTGTCAAAAAATTGTTCACCTTCCTTTTATTCTAGGACCTTCAATGCCCAAAGTGCCTTGTAGGAGGTGGGATACAAGAGACAATGCTAGCCATGGGAGGCTCCTCGGGTAACTGTTCCAGTTGTGCCAGCCCCCTCTCTCTGACCGTTACCGCGGGAACTGCGTTCTATCGTCGTCTTGCGACTTATCAGGCCATCGGCTCGCAGTTCGGTTTTGCATACCTCGAACACATGGCTCAATGGCTGCTTTGCAGTAGTGTTGAAACCGGTCCTCTCCAATCTGCATGAGAACCCGTTAATTGCCTTTCACAGAAGCACTATTCAAATGCATTTTATTTTTCTACTATTTTTGTCAGTCCACCTAGATGTACACTACGAAGATTTTTGATAGAATATTTGTCTTTTGATCTGTTTTGTTTTTTGAATGCTGCTACCATGTCCCGTTTCCGAACTTTGAGTTGCCCTATTTGTTGATGACAGCCATCTTCGAAATAATTTGTAACACTTGTAGCCCGGCTTGGTTGCTCACCTGTTGATCGTTTTTCCGAGCTTGGTAAAGAGATCGCATGCGTTTCACCACCATGCGAGGTGGCATCTTCAGTGCGGTAATAGGCAGTGTATAATGCTGCTTATTATACACTGCCTATTACCGCACTGAAGATGCCACCTCGCATGGTGGTGAAACGTATGCGATCTCTTTACCAAGCTCGGAAAAACGATCAACAGTTGGACAGCCATCTTACTTATAGGTCATTCATAGCAGTCAGCTCGCAGTCAGAGTCTTCCATACGTCCAGGAAAGCGCTGGACGACCGATTAGATGGGTCATTTTGAAGCACTTGTTGTGATTGGATTGCGAGACGCGATCTCAGCGTTGACCGCGATTCCCATTGGAGTGAACCTTGGTCGTTCGATCACGAGGACTGTAGATAGAATTTGGGTGTTGCCCGCCCGAAAACACTGCACTCCTGTGACGCGTTTCGATGTTATTTCATCTTCTCAGATAGAGTTAGCAGGCATCGAATTCCCGACCATTGGAATATTACTTGTGCGCCCTACCCCTAAGCCACCAAGTAACGACAGGCAACGCTTGGCACAACGGTTAATGATGGATTTGGAGGGTCATTTTGAGATACACGTAGTTTGTGTGGATGGAGTGCGACACGCGATCCTAATATTGACCACGATTCCCATTGAAGTGAACCTTTTTCTTTCTATCACGATGACTGTAGTTGAAGCAGATAGAAATTGGGTATTGCCCGCCCGAAAATACTGCATTTTTATGACGTATTTTGATGTTATTTCATATACTCAGATAGGAATCGGAATGGGAGGCTAAATTGACCGATATCACCTAGCCACCACGTCACGAGGGGCAGCGGTTGGCTTAATGGTTAATGCTCGATTTTGAGGGTCATTTTGTAAGGTACCTTGTGTGGATGGATTTCGACACGCATTCTTAAGCTTGACTGCGATTTCCATTGGGATGGAACTTGGGCGATTCGATTTCTGGGACCGTAACTGAAATGCATGGGTATTGGCTATTACCCGCTCGAAAACGCTATAATCCACTACATGGTTCACTCTTGGTTGATCTCATCAGGTAGAGATAGCAGGCATCGAACCCGGGACCATTGGGATTTTAGTTGGAACCGCTACCCATTTAGTCATGACGAGCGACGCTTGGCATGACTTTAATGACTGTTTTAAGGGTCATTTTGAGGTACTCATTTGTGTGCTTGCATTGCGTCGCGCAATCTCATTGTGGACAGTGATTCACATTGAAGCGGACCTTGGCCAATTCGATCGCTAGGACCGTAGCTGAAGCTCATAGGAATTGGATGTTGCTTGTTCGAAAAGACTGCGTTCCATTACGCGTTTCGATCACATCAGATAGAGGTAGAAGGAATCGTTACTGAAGCAGTGTTTTCTGGCGGGCAGCACCCAATCTCCTCTAACCGGCCGTCGATTAGTGCGCATCTTGCGGCTCCACCAGGAGTCCTACCCGCTGAACCATGATTAGGTGCAGATTGTCGTTACTGATAGGCTGACTGTGATATAATGAAGCTCCTCCTTAACTGCCATGTACTTTACCAATTTTGCAGAGAACATGGTTAGCCCCATATGACCTCGGCTTCCCGTATTTTAATCCTTTCTAATCGCTGGGGGCACTGTCATCTTTTTTCGGACTGGAGCACAATCAGAACACCCTTAGTTCCCATTTGAGACCCCCGGATCCTTTCAGCAGACTACCGTCATCGGTATAAATCGGTCAATTGATCCATATTTTCTCAACTCAATAGCTAGGAAATGTTTGTACACAAGTGACAATCGGCGGTCCATTTTCGGCTGAGGGATCTTCTGCTATTCTCTTCATCTCCTGATCTGCTTCTTTCACTGACTTTCCTGCTTTTATTTCAGGGAGTTTCGTTTTCTCCTTTAGGTTCAGGTTGGTTATCTAATTCACCCTAGCACTGGCGATTTTGTGAGCTCCATTCGCATGACATGTTTGCTTGGTCACACCTTTCGGAAGTTACACCGATGATGTTGCTTAGTTTGGTAACAGACTTCCGCAAACGTCTGTTCTTTCGCACGCACCATCCTCCCACCTGTTCTGACATGCACCGTTGACTGATACTGCTTTTATTTGGGTGAAGCTCCGAAGTGGTCTGCAGTGTAGCTAAAGGGCATGACGAACTGACCTGCTTCGGTTTGGAACGTACCATCTCCCCGCACGGAGTCCCAGGGATAGACTAAATCAGCGGTCAAAAACAGTCATCATCAATCAACAACAGCATTACATCAACCATTTGAACTGATGCTTCGCTGTCATACAACCATGTTGACATATGGAATGAAGAATAATAAAAAGAAGAGAAGGGGGACTTACCGGAAAACCTTAACGCCCTGAACACACGTTGATGGTCAAGGTGCCTACATCTTGTGTTAACAATGTATCGTCACAAACAGCTGGCTATCGTGCAAAAACAATGTTGCATCAGCGAAACAGCTTCCTTGAGGCTTTCACTGCCCCACGTCATAATCAGCCATTACCCCGAATATAACTCAGCGTCCGACTAGGGGACGGCAGCAGACATGTCACTGATGTCGACTGCGAGCTATGTCCTGTAAACTCTTGAGCCAGGTACAAGGCGGCTCAGGTGGACTCCAGCCCGGAAGACGAGACGGACCAACCGCACTCACGTTGGTCGTCAGTGACTTCATTTCCCGCTGCTAAGTCAACTTCTGTCCACCTCGAGCATTGCGCCACCCTATATCTGACAATAAATAAGGCCCTCCTAGGTAAGCGGTGACTAGGCATTCGTAGTACGTGCCCAAGCCAACACAACTGATTCAGTGCTATCTGTTGTTCTAGGGAACTAGCTTGATTTTCACTGCCTAGTACTCGTCTACGCACGTATCTTTGCGACACACTGATGCCATCCGACCAGAAATGCTCCCCAGACGGCGGTGATGAAAGATTTGAAGGCGCCTCAGACTGAATGGGCCAACTCTCACTCCTTATAGAGCAGGACAACGGCCCTCGCTGTGGCCTTGTAAACACGGCCTTTCAGACGGAGGGAAACTCCTTTCTGATACCATGAATGTCGCCAATCCAAGCAGGCATTTCTGGCTTTTGTAATACATGAACTAACTTTAATTGTTATGCGCCCATCCTTGCTGATACAGGTGCCAAGTGAAGTGAGACCATCAACTGCCTCGAGTTCCTCATCATCAAGGGTCAATGGGTCAGCAAATGACTGGTTGCCCTGCAGCGACACTGCACTTCGAAGGTGCGAAGCACATTCCAAATGATGTGACCACTATAGTGAGATCATACAGGTTCGATTACACCGCTCCAACATCGTTAAAACGCAGGACAATATCGCCCGCGTAATCAGTGGTAACTGATTTTCACCAGGCAGGACCCCAACGCCTACAACATGTTATTCCAGGATGAGCGGCACTCCAGAACGGAACCAATCCCCCTATAATTCATGGCAATGTGGTCTGTTTGGGTCCATCGCTGGCCAGCTACAGGAGGACGCCAAGTGACACTTCGGCGCTCATTGTGTCTAAAAGCAATGCTACTAAGAAACAACTGGTGCTCCGCACACAGTTGCGGCAGACGCTCACCGCTGTCAGTCCGTTCGGAGTTAAGCCCATACTTAACACCTAGCTGAGCTTCAGAAGAGCTTAGACGCCCCATTTGTGCGTACTCTAATAGCTGAACTAGTAGCGCGTTCAGTTCGTAATAGAATGTGTCCTTAGTATCATCAGAACTGCAGACGGTGGGAGCATAAGTGGAAATCGCAAACCAATATCGTCTTGCACTACTTCTGGAATAAACTTTAGTTGATGCCATCAAACGGGCTGCACATAGACGGCTGTTCACCGGAATCCAATCAATCTATGATGGCTCAGCTTTGGAGCTGAGATTGATACCTACCCCAGCTTGTCCCGTGATTGCTGCACCAGTGTCTCTGGATGCGGGCAACCAATATCGAAAGGACAAGCCTGGTGCAGTTAATTCAACAACCCCATTGGGGTCATTGATCATAGTTTCGGACGCACAACACACGTCAATACCCAGGTTGTCCAACCTGCGTGCGGGTGCAGCCTGTTGACTAATTTGTCTTAGAGTGCGAACGTTGAACGCCGCTAAGGAAGCGGGATAGCGTGGTCTAATAAGGAACTGTTGCGGATAGGCATCCTGTGTTGTTAGGTGTTGCGATAACGTGGCTGCAGATGGTTCGACTCCTGTGTCACTGTTGCTGCTGTCAATTATGCTGGGATTTATTAAAGGAAGGTTAGTAGTGGAGGTCGGGATGGGAGTAATAAAGAGTTGAAAAAGAAAGGAATCGCCAGCAGTAGCGTGTTTTCGCTTATTCTCCCTGCTGTATGCAGCAGATAAGGCGACACTTGCTAATCTGCGCGACGGTCAATGCGTGATATAGTTAACGTTTTGGACAATTGTAATGATTGTTTGATCTAAGGTACTACCGGAGCGCTCAGACTTAGACAGGTCAAAAACAGTCTGTCATGTTTTTTTATCATAACCTAACTAGTTCCGCTGCTTTTTTCATCAATTGTGACTGTTAAATACTTCCATTGGACCTCTACAAGATTTTATTTTCCCTTTTTCTGGTTCGTTTATTTTCTCCGTCTTTCTGTTATTTCCACTGCGGCATGTTTCAAAGCACCTGGGTCCACCGTATTCTGTTGCACTGACCACGTTCGACAAACTGAACTGGACGCTTGTACTTCAACACGCATTTGACCGATTAGTGCATTCCACATTGCCAAGTTAATCGACTGCTTTTCAGCCATCATACTGTGTTGCGATTTATCGGACGCAGGTATGCATGCTCGTCCTACCTCACTGTGTATTTGGTTGGAATGGTGTATC